ATTGTGCAACTAGCAACCCCAACCGCTGTGAAGATCCAGGAGAGAGACACTTGGATCCACTAGAGTCATTGTAAGCTGATTAAAGACTTTCCCCAGCGAGAAGCCCAGTTACCTTCACAGGGACCCCACGACTAAGGTAGGGATCTGTGTTGAAGCCCAGCTACAAATGGGGTTAAGCAATTTAGAGCTTTTCATCTCAACCCTGGTGAAGAAACCAACCTAACCCAGTCCTTTAGAGTCCTGGTTATTGGGCGCTTTCTTGGAGGAACTGGTGAAGATGGGAAAACTAAAGTGGCTTTGCTGCCTGGTGGTGACCATTGGACTGGTGTTCTTAGGGACTCAAACTGACCACCTGAAACAAAAGAAAACCAGAATGGTTTTTGATGGATCCACAGCAAGTCATCCCTATGGCACCAATATGTGGTGGCAGCATTCCAAGCGTGTTGCTGAAGGTTTGAGCAAAACAGACTTATGTTTGTTCCTCATATTTTTCCTTTTTATTTGTTGCTTAGCACCATGCCTCCAGTTAATGATTTAGAGAATGATAGGATCCACTCTAATCCAGTATTCAGCTGTTATTTATGCACAACTCTGCCAAGATGCTGGTGAGGATACTGATGATGTTGCAACTGTGTAATCTGTTACAGGGATAATGATCGCGTCTAAGGGAAGGGTCGGGTAGGAATTTCCCTCTATTGGAGAGGGTTTGCCTACTCAAGGGACAGGTTTTTGAAGCTTTTTACATTCTTGATCAATTTTACATTTTTGCTTAAGTTTAACATTTTAATCCTTTTCATATTTTTGTGTTTTGCATATTGATCTTTGATTACTGAATTCCCTATCTGCAAAGCATTTATGATATGTGTAGTAAAAATCTTTTTAGAAGTGCTACATGCTGATGTTTATATGCACAACAGGAGGGAAATGTAAGGTTTATTCAATGATGATTATAAAGGTAATGTCTGTGCATATAAAACATTGAGGAAATGAGATGTTTCACTTGGTTACTGCGAACTGTCATGCAGCGGTGGTGGAAAATTACTGATGTTTGTGCTGATTCAATCAGAGGAGCATTATGTCCTATGACCTGATCAATTGCCTTGTCAGAAGAACACTCTGTTTTAAAACCCACCCCATGTGTTATGATCTGCTAATAAAAAGGCTCTGCAGAGGACGTCCGTCAGAGAGTTAGAGAGTTGGGTGTAGCTCTTTCCTCCTGCAGGAACTACTAAAAAATCACTTTCCTGTGTGGACTCAGTTCCTCTTTTACGAACCTACATTTTTGAACCTAATACGTTCTTTTAGAAATACTTGAATATTTTGTTGGAATTAAAGTATCAGCACTAGAGGGGTTTAAATCAAATCTATGTGACCGATTTCAGTTTGTTCACATCAATGATTAAAGGAATAGTACACCCAAAACATGATTAGCCTTCATTTTCTACTCACCCCCATGCTGAACAACACTCTGGAGAACTTTTTTGATATCTCAAATGCATCTGGAGATCTGGGAGGCTTCTTGCTGTCTGCTGACATTCAAATAATGGAGGTCTATGGCGCCCGAGGCAGAAAGGTCCATAAAAGTCCACAAAAAACGTGTCACTATTCCTCCATACTGCTCGTCCAATGTATTCCAAGTGTCCTGAGTGGGAAGCGTCCACAATTTACTCGAAACAAAGTCATTTAGAATGTTTTTAGAGCATAAACAGTAGTGTATAGGATTTCCTAAAAGCGCGCGCTTGCACGTTCACGACGCTACGGAAACCGCGGCAGACCAAACCAGATGAAAGTGCGCATTCAGCGTCTGCTCTGCCGATAATGCAAGTGTAGAAGAAGAAATGTGCTGTTTACCTGTGCAAAGAAAGAAACAACGAAAGAAAAATGTCTGAGGACTTCAGTGTTGAGGAAGAGCATGAGTTCTTTGCCGAGCTGAATGCGCACTTTCATCTGGTTTGGTCTGCCGCGGGTTTCCGTAGACTCGTGAACGCGCTTTTAGGAAATCCTATACACTACTGTTTATGCTGTAAAAACATTCTAAATGACTTCGTTTCGAGTAAATTATGGACGCTACCCACTACCCCTGGGATCAGGCAACTGGGCCCATGAAATACTTTCCTCCACATACCACGTCACTGCTACCCGATCTGTACCGGAGGCACAATCCATAGCATCAGCTCAATTGCGCATGCTCAACCAGATATAAATCAAAGTTCCCCTCGATTCTGTTTTTGTAAAAAAAAAGACCTAAATTACTTTTTTCCCTCTTCAAAAATAGTAAGCATAATACACTATACTGTGTTTAGGTTTAATAATTATGTCCTAAGAAAATAAATGCATTAAAATCCTGTTTCATTACTCGTCTCTGCTCAATCTGTACCTGAAATTGGATCCTGGGCTATTTCCAGTAGCTAACTTTTTCAGCTTTGCATTGAAACATAAATATAGTGTTTTTGAGTTTCATGCTTTAGTTTCACATTAACCTTATGGTTTATAGTGTGTAACCTAAAGAAAGAACGAACTAAAATGCAAATAAAATTGTATAATCATATTTTGCTGGACTACTCTGAGCATGTCATATGATCACCTGGGATAAGCAGTTGTTGAATATGCGAATTGTTGCAATTACAGAATTGTTACAATTGTTATATTTTTTATACATACATTGTTTAGATTTACTTATATCTTTCTATCCCTTTTATATCTTTATATTGGCTTTTATTTTTTCATGCTCCCGATGGTTGTCACCTTTATTCCACTCTATATTCTCATGAGTATTCTTTGTGTTCACTAAAATAATAAAATAATAAATAAAAGAAACAGCAGTCAGAAATTTAGTATTCATTCTTTTCCTGCTTTGTGTGTCAACTGTCATGGTTACTAAGCGACAGAGGTTAGCGCATGGCTGCCCCTATGGCAGGCCATTTGGTCTTTTAATAGAAGCACTGTTCTCTCAATTGTCCCATTTGTTAATCTCTAAAAAAAAAAGATTCTTCCAAGTCAAAACTACATTTCAACTAGCCAGAAATTACATTTTTACTAGCAATAATTACATTTCAGGCTGCAAAAAATATAATTGTACTAGTAAGAATAAACTTTTAAATACCTAGAAATCTTTACAAATTTTAAGTGGCTCTTTTGGCATTTATTAACTTGACTGAATATATGTTTCTTGATGTCTCAAATGCACTTATACCTAGTCAAAATGAACATTTCAGATATCTAAAATAAACATTCTTCCTATCTAAAAAGGAACTCTGATGAGGATGAATTCTAATAATTGAGTTACTGCTAGTCAAAATGCTAGTAGAAATATAATTACAGATATCAACTATTGATATATGACTAGTTAAATTGGAATTTCAGATATCTAATTTTTAATAATGCCTATCCAAAATACAGTTTTAGATACTTCAAAACATATTTTGACTAGGGGTGTGCAAAATAATCGTCATGATGATGCATCGTGATTCTAATTTTCGTGATCTACTGCATCGATTCTTGACACCAAGTATCGATTATTAATTAAAAAAATTAATAAATAAAATTGCATGAATGGTTGGCGAACATCAGCCAAAAACAAGTGTAATACAACTTCCAGTCCAGTAGATGTCGCTGCGGATGTGTTGACGCACGCTGCCTTGTGTCACAAGCATTTCCGGCCACGGGATACTGCGCAGAGTCATTCAAAAACAAAACATGGAGGAGAAAATATTGCAATGCATGGCAATAATTCAAGTATCGTGATGAATCGTGATTCAAATCGAATCGTGACGTCTTTGGCAATACCCACCCCTAATTTTGACTAACATTCAAAAAAGAAATAAGGAGCCAATTTAACATAAAATAAGCAGGCTGACTAGTCACATTTCTATTATAGATTGCACTTAAGTATTCCACCTAGTCACAACTATAATACTACTAGTCAGAATTGTATTTTAGATATTACTAATTACATTGCTAGCAGTAGAAATAAAATTTTAAGTACACTGGAATCAAATTTTTACTGGTAAGAACTACATTTCAGATATCTACAAATCTTTACTTAATAAAAGTGGCCATTTTAACATATACTTATTTGTATTTCCGATATCTTTAATAGTATTCCTCCTTTCTAAATGAATATGTAATTTTTACCAGGAAAAATGACTCACTTTTCCCCATTAACGTGTATTAAGCCGTTACTTTTAGATGTCCAAAATGACACTACTCTTATCTAAAATAAACATTCTGGATGTCCAAAAATTAATTTCACATCTCCGTAATCCAATCGATATTGGTCATAACTTTTATTTCATATATTAACAAAAAGTTAAAATGTAATTTTTAATGGTAGAAACGTAATTAGTGATATCTAAAAGACTTGTGAATAGGTAGAATGCTTTTGTGCCATCTATGATAGAAATTTGACTGGTCAGCCTGCCTATTTTATGTTTAAACAGAGCCTCGTTATTCTTTTGCAAGTCTCTTAAACTGTATTTTGGATAGGCATAATTAAAATAGGGATCTTTAGAATTAAAATTTAAATAGTCATAAAATAAGTAATATGGACATTTTCATTTTTGTCTAGGAAAAAATGAATTTTTGAAATCTGGATTACTCAGTCAAGCTAATAAATGTGAAAACGGCCTGCCATACTGCCACAAACGGCTAATCTGTCACACCGGCTGGAAGCTAACTGCAGCTTCGTCATGAGAAAGTTAAACAAAAAAATTAATTATCAGTGTACAACATGAACCCTTCTTCGCAAGGACTTATTTTTCTTTTCTCTCCCTCTCTTTTTTTCCCTTTACAAATATCAAACCTACGACATCGAATTCAGCCTAGCTACACTACAGCAGTCATAGGAGACTACAGAAAGTAAAACTTATGACTTTAGAGAACTCAAACTAAGGCTTCTCACCAGCAAACTTGCTAAAGTTTTACATGAAGATAAACCGACAGAGTCCAAAAAACGAGTAGAAAAACGTTTAGTAAACTAAAACTGGTAATTCAATGCTCACCAACACAGGATAAGTACAAACTCATGTCTTCCTCTTCATCAGCAATCAGAGTTTTTGCTCAACTGCTGCTAACGTCAAACAGGCGGCGATTATGGCAGGCCGATTTGACATTTATTAGAAGCAACGTCCTCTATTTTGTTCCATATGTAGATCTCTAAAACATAGTTCCTGGTCAAAACTACAATCCTACTAGTCAGAACTGTACACAGATATCCTAAATGACATTTATAGCAGCAAAAAATACATTTCAGGACGCAAAAAATATAATTGTATATTATATAATAAGAATAAACGTTCAGATACCTAGAAATCTTTACAAATTTAAAGTGGCTGTTTTGACATTTATTAGCTTGACTGAATATATATTTCATATCTCAAATGCATTTCTACCTAGTCAGAATGAGCATTTCAGATATCTAAAGTAACATTCTTCCTATCTAAAATAAACCTTTCAGGTATCTTAAATGTAATTCTCACTAGTACAAATGACGTCACCTTTCCGTTTCATGTGTATTGAGCTTTTAATTCCAGATATCTAAAATAACATTGTTCTTATATAAAATAATCATTCTTCCTATCTACTGAATTATGTTGAGGATAAACTCTAATTTTGGATCTCAATAATGGACTTACTATTAGTCAAAATTACAATTTCAGATATCAGAAATGAATATAATATTGTAGATATAAAGAAATCCAGTTTTTGACATCAAAAATGTCTATATTAATTACAAATTTTGACTAATAATATATGACTATTTAAACTAGAATTTGAGATATCTACATTTTAATAATGCCTATCCAAAATATTAAATACTTAAAAACATATTTTGACCAACTTTTAAAAGAATAAAGCAGCTCCATTTTAACACAAAATAGGGAAGCTGACTAGTCACTTTTCTATTATAGATAGTACCAAAGCATTCTACCTAGTCACAATTAGAATGTTCCAATCACTAATTGCATTTCTACCAGTAGAAATGATATTGTAAGTTATCTAGAATCAAATTTGTACTAGTAAGTGCTACATATCTACAAATCTTTACTTACTTTAAGTAGCCATTTTATAATAAATTTGCTTGACCCAATATGTAATTCATATATCTTTAATGGTATTACTCCTATATAAAATGAACATGTCAGATATCTGAAATTTAATTCTTACTAGGACAAATGACGTCACTTTTTCCCATTCATGCGTATGTTCACAGTTTTTATTTCATATATCAAGAATGACTTAAAATGTAATTTTTAATGGTAGAAATGTAATTAGTGATATCTAAAAGACTTGTGAATCGGTAGAATGCTTTCGTGCTATCTATAATAGAAATATGACCAGTCAGCCTGCCTATTTTGTGTTTAAACAGAGCCTCGTTATTCTTTTGCAAGTCTCTTAAACAGTATTTTGGATAGCCATAATTAAAATAGGGATCTTTAAAATTCTTATTTATCCAGTCACGAAAATAAATAATTGATATTTGGAATTCAACATATTAATGGAAATATTCATTTTCATTGCTAAGCTGTTTGTAAAGAAATGTTGTTTTGTACTGGCAGAAATATATCTTTGATGTAAATAATTGGATTTCTGGATATCTGTAATGTTATATTTATTTTTGATATCTGAAGTTGTCATTGTGACCAGTAGAAACTGTACTATATAGTTCTGATATTAGAGTTCACCCTTGTCAGAATTCAGTTTTAGATAGGAAGAATGTTTATTTTAGATATGTGGAAGTAAAATCCCAACACACATGAATGGGAAACGTGACGTCATTTGTACTAGTAAGAATTACATTTAAGATATTTGAAAGGTTCATTTTGACTTGGAAGAAATCATTTTGAGACTTCTGGGCATCGGCGTCGCCAGACCCCATTTACTGGGGCACGTGCCCCAGTATAAATGAGCTGTGCCCCAGTATAAATCTCATGAATATTTGCAACAGTATTACATTTTTTTAATGCATCAATTTAGATATTTCCAACGGAAGGAGACGTATATTTCTACTCAAATGCGCAGCAAGTGTGTTGGTAACTCCAAATTGAGGATGTATTAGCGCCCCCACGTCACCGCATGTCACTGCATGAACTGCAGGTAAACTAACACGCCGCTCTCAACTGAGTTGGATGGGACACTGTGCAGCCACGACGCATTTTTAGTTCTGGTAATGTTTCTTACCTGTCAATTTTATTATTTTCCCAGTGAAACCACATGATTTATAGGCTACTAACTGAAAATTACTGTATTGGTTTGTAGATGGATATCAGGAAATTCCTCACACGAAGCAGAGACAGGGAAGCAGTAAAACAAGATGAGAGAGAGGGAGGTAAGGTCCCGTAATGAATTAGTGATTTAATGTAACCAGTTACATTAGGAACGTTATAAGTAATATGATAGATATTTACATAATTATAAATTTGCGTTTTTTTTTATGTTTGCTGTAGAGAATGAGAATGCAGGTGCTGGAGTAGGAAAGGGAGGAGGAGGCGAGACTGACTGGCAAGAGACAGGTGAAAGACAGGAGAGACAGGACCATGAAGGTGATGAGGATGCAACAACCAGCTTCCACAAACAAGAAGGGGACATTAGGGACTTAGGGGGAAAGCATGATGGTCCTAAACAAGTGAAGTTGTCCCACTATCCCCTGGGGCAAATTTGGAGTAAAAAAACGTTCATTTAATTCAAAATGGTTTGAGCTTTTCCTGGTTAAAAAAGAAAGCCTTGTTATCAAGGATATGCAGTGTGTTTTCAACTTGCTTGATAACATCATATTCCCAACACTAAAGCAGGTCATCCAGATCTCCCTCACAATCCCAGTCTACAGATGGAGTTGTGAAAGGTCATTCAGTGTGTTGAGAAGGCTCCACACTTGGCCGAGGTGCACAATGGGACAAGATAGGCTCCATCATCTTGCTATTTTATCAGTTGAAAAGGAAGAACTTTCTAAGCTGAGTCACAAGTGATTGACCACTTTGCAAAAATGAAAAATAGGAGGTACACTTTAATGCTCAAAAAATAAAAGGAAAACTTAGTTCGGGTTGAGTTAAACTTTCCCCTGAACTAAAACTCGGAAACCTAGGAATTAATGATTACTTCAGAATGTGTATAAGGAAACTTTTTATTTTTAAAGTTGTTGATGTCTTATTTTTTATAGCTGCAATGTTGAAAATGTTCATGTTTGTTAAAACAAATATGCTCTTATACTCATTAATATCTCAACTGGTAATTTTGGTAGGAATGTATCAGGGTTGGGCAGTGTGCTTGTCTGTATTTATGTATGGAAGGAGGGGCATATGCACTAGGGGGCCAGTGCCCCAGTAAAGCTTTGTGCCTAGCAACGCCCCTGCTTCTGGGTTACACTCAGTCAAGCTAATAAATGTCAAAACGGCCTGCCATAGACCTGAGCTCTCACCTAACGCCGCCTCGATTAGTTTTAAGCGTCATCTGGTTTATGACGTTCCCACACATCATTAGAACAGCAAGCATCTCACCATAGATATTTCTCTGATTTAGAGGAATCACTGACATAAATCATGAATCCTTTATTCTTCAGTTGCCATTTCGCCAGTAACAGCACAGCATTTCTTTGCGCAGCCTGATGTAGAGCTTAATAAATATGTGGCTGAGGTTTTCCACTCTCTAAAGTTTATGTCATCACAGAATAGTATGATTATTCTTGTCTGGTTGAATATAAACCTGCCTTGTGGTATCAGTAAACACAGATATGATGACAACATTAAACCACGACCATATATTTTGTTTTACACGGCAAACCTGATCTAAAAAATAAGTTAAATCCTAAAATAAATGCAATTGCCCTTAATTTGAGCAGATAAATAAAAAGCAACCTACCAGTGGAATTATAATTTCTGCCCATCAGATATACACTTGAAATAAGTTTTTTTTTTTCTTATTTTAGAGGTAATTCATCTTGGTGAATTCTGATACTTACCTGCATACAATTATTTCAGGAAAACAATTACTTAGATTTAGGAAAATAGAAATACCGAAAAATCTAACATTTTATTAGTTATTGGTTTCTACACATATTAATACTTGCAAAATATACACACACACACATATATATATACATATATATATATTGTTGTTTTAAAATAAAGAAATAGGTAATTCAAGCACTTTAAGAAGCAAAGCAACACATTTTTTAAAAATACAATATTTTATTTGTTTCATTTCAACAAAATTCAACAACAAATAATTCAATCTAATCCTCTCTCTGAATAGGAAGTTACAAAAATATCTTTCTGGTGTTCTCTGAATAACTTAACAGAATATTTGGGCTAATAAATATCAAGGGATAATCAAAATACGTCTAAAACAAAAAAAATGCTTTTAATAATATTTACAAAGCAGGTAGAAACAATCTAGAACATTTTAACGTCTTCTTCAGACATGAAAACAGGTCAGGGGTGAAAATGTGGGAAGTATTAAACCCTTTGAGGAACAGGACACTATGATGTAAAGTATTTATACATTATCAGGAATAAATTCTTGCCAGTTATATTTTTTTCTCACTCCCCTTCAAAAGTCACAGATATTCTTTATCTTAATATTATTTCTCATAATTCCAGCATTTCCTATTTTCATAATCATTTCTCTAATATTAAACATTAAATGCACGGTTACCACTCATTCACTCCCTTTAGTAGCAGATAAAGCATTAATTGGCAACATTAATATGAAACACACTAAGCATAGTAATCTTTTTAGCTGAACAGTAACTGCTGGTGCAACACCTTCAGAACTTCATCTGTTTAAAGAAAGAAATGTAAATAAATAGAATATATTTCAACTCAAGATGAACAACAACTAAACTTAAATGATCATAGCAGTTTTTCTTCTGTGAATTTCTGAATCACCTAATATGGTCAAATAATACAAGTTACACAGACTCTTCAGGGCTAACCAAGGCCATGAAGATTCAGAACCTGATCTTAAAAAATGTAAACTAAAACGTGAAAATCTAAAAGGAAAAAAAAATAATACAAGGAACTTTCAAATCGACTAAATGGATATAGAGGAATTATTAGAGAGGACTAGTTGAAGAAGGTCTAAATGCCTTTTTTATTTGGGTGTATATTCAAAATTCTACCATAAAATATTCTATATTTATTTGGAATATATTTTGGTTTGAAAAAAAAAAAAAAAAAGCTTTGCATTAGGCTATCCCTCAGAAGCTGAAAAAATAAAAATCCAGTGACCAATTTTTGGATTTAAAAATGGAAAATGTTGCCTAAAAGTAAGCGAAATTTATATCGGCTTCTTTGATCTGAACTTTAAAGTATCAAAATAAAGGTGCAATTACAATATTTGTTTCTCAACCAATCAGATTTCATTTTTTTTTTACTGGTTAAAAATTCCGGGAAGACCCGCTGCTAGCTATTTAATGCCACAGACTTCAGCGTAGAGTTACCAATTTAAACACCCAGTGAGACAGCTGTGCAGTGTTTAAATCTCACGCCCACTAATACTTATTGAATGCTTGTCTGATGCGCGTCAAAATCTGGCAATCTCTTCTCCACCAGCTGTACTAATGTGCAAATCTGTCTTTGTGTCTGTGATTGCTGCTCTGCGCTGGTGTGTTGAACTCAGCAGCTCATTGCGCCTTGAGCATCATTTGTGCGCTTGGCTGTCTCTGCCAACGCAATAATTATTAATAAACTACTTTAGATTGAACAACAGCAATGCCTTCGTTTTACTTTCAGGATTTTATTTCTTTTAACTCAATTGAGGTGATGCAAAGCTTTATTTTCCATCCAAGGAATTCCTAAATCATATCTTCAATAAATAGTTAATCAATTAGCTTTTTTGGAGAAAAACCCAAATAAAAAGACGCATTGACCATCCTGAAATATTTCTCTCTCATAATTCCTCCCTTTCCATCTATCTAAATAAGAGATAAATGTTTTCATATTTTTCAATAGAAATTTTTCCTAATTTCTTTTCAATATTTTAACACTTTAGTTTAGATAATTTTTCTGGATATTATAAGGCTGCGTTAGAGGTTGTCTGTGTCACTCATATGAACCCTATAAGAGATCTCTCTGGGTTCTCTCAGCCTAACTATAGTTTTAAAAAAAAACAATTATCTCTGAAAAGTTTCATTGCCACAATATCAATAAAGATTTTATTATTTCTTCAGAATAATTTATTAAAGGGTCAAATTATTCTGAAGAAAAATAATGTCTGCGCATTTTTTATTTTATTTTTCAAAGTATAACATTCAAAAGTGTCATTATTCTGTTCTATATAGATGATATTGTTCTATATATAAATGAAGGAAGGGTGTAATAAAACAAATATGAGCTAATATTTTTTCAGTATAATAATGGAAAGTATTTTAAACTACTTTCAACCCTTTAAAAAACACTTGATACAGCAGATGGAATCTTAAGTTTTCTTTGCAGTAAACATTTGAACTTATTTTTATTTGACATTTAACAACATTTTCTTCTAGACAGAAGCAAGAAGCTGCTGTACTTGCTATGACTTCAACCTAAACTAAAAACATGATCTAAAATCACAGTTCTCTGACCATTCGGTCCAGTTCAAGTACCAATTGGTTATTTACTGCATGGTTCCTCTGAGATTCATAAACTGAAACACAGAAAAGAGGAAAACAGATGAACCTCACTGTTGACCAGCTCAGAGTCATCAGCTGGACGTCCATCTAAGGATCCTGAGGAGACAGGGACTTCCTGTTGGTCACATCACCAGCTAACTGAAAGCATCTTCACCAGATCTCAAACTTCCTGTTGTCCATATAAGGAGTTTTATCAAGGATATTGTTCTTGAAGAGTCTAGAAACAGAGAAAAGCAGAGAGAAGAAAATAGAAATTTGACTTTAGCGGCTGTGAAATCAGCAAGGATTCCTCTGAGAGCTGAGATTTCAGGAGATCGTTAACAGACTGCTGCTCCAGGATGGTTTAAATGTCCAAACATCAGCTCTGGAGCCAAGAGAACTACTGAAATCTGTCTCTGTAGTGCAGCCTAAACAATCAGGGTTTATGAAACTGGATCCTTCAGTTTCACCTCTAAGCATCAGTTATTTATCTTTTTAATCCCAGCAGAAGAGAGGAAACATTTTGTATCTAAATAAATGAAAGATAAAATGATGGATGTTGATGAATCTGCTGAATGTTTGCTCACCTCACAGAACCAATGGAAGGGTTGATGGAGACCAGGAGGAGCAGCTGATCAGTAGAAGCATCAGTGATCTGATTGTGACTCAGACTGGAAGACAAACACAGCACTCTACATTATGTTAGGTTCTACTGGAACACGTCCATCAATCATCAGAACCACAGAGAAGAGCAGCAGGTTCCAGATGTCCTGCTGGACAGCGTCCTCTACCAGAAGTCTGTCCTCATCACAGAGACGCTAACAGGGACAGGAGTCTCTCCTGGACCTGAATTCAGCGTCACGGCTCATTGAAGCCTGATTGGCTGAGATTTAATGCTGTGGATCAGCTGATCCACTTGATCTGGATCAGAACCGAGGGAATGTTTGGGTTTGTCTCCCACAGAGGGACGGTCTGGGACACTTACTCCAGGACTTGGACCTTGTGCAGATGTGTGATGAGTTGAAGCAGCAGCAGGTCGGTCAGCTGGCAGTGACTGAGGTCCAGCTCTGTTAGACCTTCAGAGTAGTCCAGCATCAGAACCAGAGCTGCACAGAGCCTCTGATCCAGTGTGCTGTGACTCAGGTCCAGTTCTCCTCCCAGGGCTCTGCACAGGAACACCGCCCGTCTCACCGTGTCCCTCTCACTTCCCACAGCCAGCAGGGACAGCAGCTGGACCTGGACCGTCTTACTGACCCTAAACAGCAGGAACAGAACAAAGAACTTCAGCATAAATGTGAAGCAGCTTCTCCCTGCTTCAGCTTCATCCTCCCTCCTCATCCTCACCTGAGACGGACCCTGTCCAGGACAGGAAACAGCAGGTCCAGCCCGCTGTCCTCCACCTCACAGTCTCTGAGGTGGAGCTGTGTGTCCCTGCTGCTGTGTCTCAGGACGGAGGAGACGGCCCTGCAGTCAGCAGCCGTCACCCTCAGAGGCTCCTTCTGCTCCTCCTCTGCTAGCTCCACGCAGGAGGAGCAGGACAGGTCCAAGCTGTGCTGCAGAGTCCTCAGCAGGGCTGCTGCTGCCTCCTGCTGGCTGTCAGAGGCAGCGCAGCAGTGGATGAAGCGCAGCAGCTGCTTCCTGTCCACACTGGTGGGAACAGAGAAGAACAAGCATCCAATCAATGGAGAGGAGGGAACAGTTTATTATTCATGTTGCACCGATGCCATTTTTGGCCCCGATACTCGATACCTGGCTGTGCAGTATCGACCGATACCGATACATCTATTTGAAATTGACGTGTGTGAATATGAAGAACTGCATACTGCTTGGATGTACAATAACTGCCATCATGGCTTTGTCAAGCTGCTGCCTATCGTTGTGAAGTGAATCCAGTAGAACTTTTTATTGCCTACCAGGAATGGGTGACAGTTAGAGCCATTTTTTATGTTTTGCAGAATTTGAGTTAAGAATGTAAGAATTCTTTTGTACATATTTAGTAATATAGGAATCTATTTTGTTAAATATATTTTTATCAAGCTACTGTGGTGCATTTGATGGGCTGCTGGTTTGGTGTAAAACTTTCACGACACACAAAGGAAGTCAGAGCAGAAGCTGCTAGCTTAGGAGCATCACAGTCTTTTGACCGGCACATGGGAGTTTTAAAGTTTCTGATTCAAAACTTTTTATTGCTTTTATGTGTCGCATCTTAAAGAACTTCGAGGTTCAAAGCTAGTGAGTCGCCTGCACTCACAGGTGACAATAGTTGAATAAACTTTTGGCTCTCAGAATGGTATCAGTGTCCTATTCGTCGGTACTCGCTGATACGATACCACCATTTCAGTGCTGGATCGGGACACTGTCCAATACTGGTATCAGTGCAACACTATTAATTATGATCTGTATTCCTAAGCAACAGGCTTTAACTTCTGACCTGAGATCAGAAACTTTGTGCAACAGACAGAGGATGGACTGGATTCCCTCTGCTGGGATGGAGCTCCACAGCAGCTTCAGTTTAACCCCATCACTGTGTCTGAGGATGAAGAGCAGAGCAGCACAGTCCTCCAACTCCAGCTGTGTGCAGCTCAGGTTGATCACATGATCCAGTGACCTCAGCAAACCGGGTATCATGTGACTCTGGAGATCTCTCTGATGGAAGTCCTTACAAAGCTGGGACTGGGCCTGGAAGCAGAGGATCCACAACAACACTTTGTTTAGTTCCAGGAACCAGAAGCTGCTGATGATTCATTAGAAGAATCATAACCTCCACCTTTGAAGCACCATCCTGTGCAGAAAGGGCAGCAGCTCTGCAGCTTTCTCCTGTAAGAAGCTGTTCTTCTTCAGGTTGACAGTGATGGTCTGATCTGACGGCTGCTGCAGCAGATAGTGAAGCAGCTCCCAGTTCAACTGGAAGGACCTCAGGTCTCCACCAACCTTATTCAAGAAGGACAATGTCAGGTCCTGGTCCTGGACCTCATGGAGGAGGACCACAAGCTGCTGGAGAACACCTTCACTCAGCCTGCAGAGATCACAGATCAAACCTGAACTTACCTGGGTTTGGTTCAGCTGATGGAGATGAAGAAGACATTTACCTGACTGTGAGAGGAGCATCATGAAGGAGCAGACTGAAGAGGCTCTGAGCAGGAAGGCTGGACTCAGTCAGGTCTAACCTTCTGACTGTCCAGAACCTCAGCAGAGACGCCAAACTGCTGCCAACCTTCAGCAAGGTTCTCTGTGATGGTCCAGCTGAGGTGGACACCACAGAAAGCTCTTCAACAACCAGAGGAAAGGCCTCTCTGCCTCTTCTCACCCACTGAGACAGGAACAAGGCCATGGTGTTGGACAGTCTGCAATCAGAAAGAGGAACAGAGATGATGGAGATCAAGAATAAATGGTTCAATATGACAGCAGATAAATGGTGAAGAAGAGACGATGTTCTCCAGGTTCCTGCCTCAGACTGTGGAGCTGTGTTGTAGATCTGAAGAGAACAGAAGCTCCTCTGACAGACATCTTTCTGGCTGTGAGGATCAGATCCACTTTAGATCCACACAATGTGAGAACTCTGCCCACAGAGCTGCAGGTTTCCCAGTTCAACTCTCCACTAAGCAGCAGGTTGAAGTTCAGGAGCTGAAGCAGTGACACCAGCTGCTGGTCTTCCTTACTGGATCGGACTGGTAGGGATGAACAAACACTCTGGAAGAACCCTGGATCACAGCTGGAGCAAAGAGAAACATAGAAAGAAGAGACAAAGCAGGGGTTCACTAAACTGCTCCAGATTAGAGAACAAATGTTCTCGGTAAGATTTATATGGTGCCATTAAAAAATCAAAGGAAACCAAAATATAGTATGATCTGCTGATTGGATAACCAAAGCCCCATTTAGTAGTGATGGGTTCATGAGGCCTCATGAAGCGTTTCCACACACTGGCAAACTGTATTTATACTGTGTCACTGAATACTGACACCTGCTGGACATTTAACAACACTACAGGCAGACTCAGCCTAAACTGACACTGATTTGATGATCTATATTAAAATCATATTTAAAACCATTGTTTGCTTTAATTTTATTTCATATTTCATTTGAATTGAAAATATGTTCGATATTTTCAGATTTTTAACAGATAACGGGAACATTTAAGTGAGCATGTGGGGCTAGGATTTATTGAAGATAACTACAAGAAAAACAGCAAACTAAGAGTCTATGTGAAATCGGATAAGCTGAGTGATAATTGAGAGGAACAGGATGAAACAAAAAAAAAAAAAATTAAATATGAGATCAGAATGGTCCTTCTCAGCTAAAATACTTCTTTTACCCCCGATTGAACCGCTCTGTCTCGTACATTGCTGTTTTGTTTTTTGTTCTCTAAGATCCATTTTTCTTAATTAATTTGATGATAAACCGCAAAATATCTTAATATTTTTGGCAGATGTAATTATAAACACAGTTTAGTTCGAAACAGCTCCTGTATCGGTCACAGGAATTTCTTGAAACGATACACGCACCGACACAGGGTTTGCTGATAGAGCATCGGTGTTGCTAGACCCATCACTAGCATTTACACGACTGTTTTCAGACTGTTTCCAAAATCAAATGTGCAAAATCGTTTCAATTTGTGCAGAGAGACAGAAGTGGAAAAAAAACTTCACAGATCTGCCCGGCACGCCTAGTCAGAGCCTCTCTATATGCTATCAGTTTGACATGGAAAAATTTGGAACTGAGATTAAAAAGTCGTACGCAACCGGTGAGTTCTGGCCTTTGAATGGAAATGGCCCATGATGTTAGGTAATACAATAAATGGTTTCACCATTTATGTGCTTTATTGTAAAGTTACTGAAATATGACCCCACCTTAATAAAGTTTAATTAATTAACATGGACAAAATATAGTATGATATAAAACCTTTGCCATGGTCATTCGGTTTATAAATGGTAAAGACTTTAAGTCAGAACCAACAAGTTCTTGAATCTTAAAAACAATGTGAAGTAAAATGACTGCATTACTGTACCTGAGCTGTGAGATATAAGGCAGACACTGTAGGAAACTCCTCACTTCACTCTCTCCATGTGAGCAGTCTGTCAGCTTCACTGGTTTCTTCTCTGATTGGAGCTTCAACACTTCCAGGAGGATGGAGGTCTTTCTCTCTGAGAGCTTTATGGTCCAGACTGGAGGAGCTGACTGGAAAACTGACTGTAATGATGGAAGGAGACTCAGACCTGTTTTAGTCTCACTGTCCTTCATCTGGGAGTAAAGATCCATCAGGAAGTCACTCTGATATTTTCTGTGTATACTTTCAAAATGAATAACGTATCTGTCATTTAAAGGGAATGTTTCATATCTGCAGACTGATGCTAACAGCTCCACCATCTTCTCTCCTGTCAGCTGTTCTCTCTCTGCTGCTGCACGGAACAGATTCCCTAAGAACCTGGTTTGTTCAGGAAGATCTGAGCTCCGACGATTAAAGCTGGAACAAGAAGGAGGAAACATTTAGAGCGGAAATTATTGGCCCTTCATAAATACGACCACACACTTCTGATGGACTCAATCTTGTTCATTTTTGTGTTGAAATTACATAATTTTGATCATAGCAGCTGTTACTGACTTAAAACCAAAGATTGATCAAGTGGCCCAGAGGACTGATTTAAATTTGTCTTTGGAATATTAGGTCATGTTTTCTTTTTAAGACTTAATTAAATTAAAACAGTTAAAAATGTGGCAGAATTATTTTTTTTTCTAATTTTGTGTTTAAAAGTTGGTAAAAAGTAAAGTAGGCTTAAAACTTTCATTTTTGATAAAGCTGACAGAGTGGCTCAGCTTATCCTGTAGTTATGCTGCTATAGGGTTAGACTTCTGGAGGACATAGGCACCCCTTTTTCATCATTCTCTCTCTATTCTGCCACTCTGCAGAATCTGTTAGTTCAATCTCTAACATTCTGCTCTCTCTGCTTTTTCTCATAGTAGCTTCATCTCGTCTGTTTGGCTGTGACATCATCCTGGAGAGAAATATCAGCTGTGCTGCTGCCATCAACACCTTTGTTTCTAGATGTTGGAAATCAGCCTGTTTTCCAGTGTAGTCCTGTTTCTCTGACTGTGACTGGCTGGATGTGCTCTCTTCATCCTCTGACATGGGAGCTGGCTGTGTGTTTCCTGGACGGTGTCGCCTTTTACAGCTGGTTTTTGTGTCTCTGCTTCTGTCTCCTTGAACCCCAGTCGGCCTCAGCAGATGGCCGCTCACACTGAGCCTGGTTCTGCTGATGGTTTCTTCCTGTTAAAAGGGAGTTTTTCCTCTCCACTGTCGCTACAAGCATGCTTAGTGTGAGGGATTGCCTTGAAGTCGATGAGTCGATGCAATCAACTGGTTTTCCTGAGGTAGAAAACTTAATCAACTTGACTGTATAATCTGGCTAACTGTAAAGTGCCTTGAGAAGATATGTGTTGTGAATTGGCACTTAATAAATAAACTGAATTGAACCAAATTTAATTTGTTCCCTCAGAGGCCTTCATTTCAGCCAGTTAGGCTAGAAGCCAGTAATTCTTTATCTGCTATTTTAATAGCTGTGTTAGGAATCCAGTTTTGTTTGTGTTGTTTGTGGTTTTTTTTCTCCACCACCAGGTGGTGTCCTGTCCTCGTTGGGCCTCCCTGCACACCTGCGGCTCGTTGGATCATTCCTGGAGGAGTATTTGAGCAGTGGGCTGTCACTACCTCGACGCCAGAGTGTTTACCAGTTTTGGGTACTCTAGCCAAGCTGAGATTAGCAGAGTCTAACCTAGCTTTGTTTCTCTGGGTCTTATCTAGTTTTTGTATTTGCTCTTCGGCAGGAAGCCTTCCTGAGTAACTGGATACCTGGACCTTCTCCCCCTGGAAGGATTAACTGTGTACACAATCAGCTGAGGAAAACCTCCACATGATCCGTTTAAGTCCTCATCGGAAATCCAAGTGACAGTCCGCTCCTTTACTCCTCTGGGTCCAACGCTTGTCTATCTGTCCGCCCTCCAACAAGTTCCCTCTTCTCTGGATTAATTCCCCCACAAGCTAGATTCAAAGATTGACAAGATCCACCTTAAACGTGAGTCCCTCTCCAGTAATATTCAAGCCTCAGCCAAATTTCCTACGGTCCCTGAACTGGTTACTGTGATCTTCCCTTCAGATTTTTCAGTTCCGGTTCACCAGTCCACTGATTTCCAGATCCAACTTCTGTATTCATCTACATTTAATAAACCTGTTAAACTTCTACCTTGGTCTCTGAGTGGTTTTCTGCATGTGGGTCAGATCGCTTGAACCAATCAAGACAAGCTGAAAACACGTGGAAGGAGTTAGACGGGATGTAACGGAGGAAAAACCTAAAAACAAACAACCTTGATCCTTCTTGATCAGATAATTTATTTGAGCTATTAATATGCTTCAAATCAGGACTCAAAATAAAAGAAATGTTTGGTTTTTTTTGGTATAGTTGAGCTCATGTATGTTTAATCATAAGGAATAACTTACTTCATTAAGTTGATCATTTAAAAACGATGTGTTTGTAAAATAGAAGGAACACTAAACAGAATAAATTGCAGTGATTTCTTGTTGGATAAAGATGTAGGTAAATGTGAATCATATGAAAATATATATCAGGATCCATTAGCTATTGAAAATCAAATGTCTTCTGATGGTTTATTAATTTAGACACTTAACATAAATAACTGTACATGAGCTGTGAGATGTAAGGCAGACACTATAGGAAACGAGTAACTAGATCTATTCCAATTTATTGCTGGCAAGAATCAAACTGAAAAGGACTGGGAAGAACAATTTCTTTTTTAGTGGGACAGAAGTAGGCCTAACTTAAATATGGGTCTACATAACTGATATTACATTATGACATTAGATATTGACATGTTGATGCTGTTTATATATGGGCCCAACTAGCAATCATAACCAACAAGTTCTGAAATAGTAAAAACAATGTAAAAAACAAAACCAACCAACCTGAGCTGTGAGATATAAGGCAGACACTGTAGGAAACTCCTCACTTCACTCTCTCCATGTGAGCAGTCTTTCAGCTTCACTGGTTTCTTCTCTGATTGGAGCTTCAACACTTCCAGGAGGATGGAGGTCTTTCTCTCTGAGAGCTTTATGGTCCAGACTGGAGGAGCTGACTGGAAAACTGACTGTAATGATGGAAGGAGACTCAGACCTGTTTTAGTCTCACTGTCCTTCATCTGGGAGTAAAGATCCAGCAGGAAGTCACTGCGTTGCTGATCAGGCTTGCAGATGTCACACAAAGAGAATCTTGATAACAGCTCCACCGTCTTCTCTCCTGTCAGCTGTTCTCTTTCTGCCGCGCCACAAAACAGATTCACCAAGAGCATTCCTTGCTCTGAATTATTAAATGCCTGAGACACAAAACTGCGATACAATAATAAAAAAAAAGAGAAAAACATTTTTAAGTGTTTTTATTTTGAAAATTAATGCAGACAATAATTGCGGAAAAACAGAAATCAAAAGCGTAGTAACTATACCTGAGCTGTGAGATATAAGGCAGACACTGTAGGAAACTCCTCACTTCACTCTCTCCATGTGAGCAGTCTGTCAGCTTCACTGGTTTCTTCTCTGATTGGAGCTTCAACACTTCCAGGAGGATGGAGGTCTTTCTCTCTGAGAGCTTTATGGTCCAGACTGGAGGAGCTGACTGGAAAACTGACTGTAATGATGGAAGGAGACTCAGACCTGTTTTAGTCTCACTGTCCTTCATCTGGGAGTAAACATCCAGCAGGAAGTCACTCTGATATTTGCCACTGTAATCTAGAGGGAATGTTTCATATCTGCAGACTGATGCTAACAGCTCCACCATCTTCTCTCCTGTCAGCTGTTCTCTCTCTGCTGCTGCACAGAACAGATTCACTAAGAACCTGGTTTGTTCAGGAAGATCTGAGCTCTGAGGATCAAACCTGGAACAACAAGAAAGCAAGTTTACTGCTAATTTGATCTGAACTGCATAAATGCATCCAGACAGAACTGATGGACTTTGCCCTGTACATGTCTGTCCCAAATGTTATAAAATTACTTGATAAACACACGTTTGATTAGAGCAGGCATTAGTGAACCATCAACGTTAACACTGATCACTGAGTTATCAGCTTTAGGAATTTTCTATGAGTCTAGGGTAAATATTTACGGTAAACAGTATTTTTTGTGTTCTGTTAGTAGTGGAAGTAATATTAATCTTGAACTATCAAGGTCCAGGTCTGGATAAAACAGCATTTTCATAACTGTTCCCTTTGGTTTTTGATACTCTGCAGATAAAATGAATTGCACTGGTACTGTTTTACTTTTAGGCATTCACACATGGACAACATTTTGGGAACCCCTCCTTTAACAAAAACAAAACTCCGAATTTTAACAGGAATAACTTGACAAAAGCAGGAATATTTACTAATTATATGAACGTAAATAAATGAAAGTCAGATATTGCTTTTAAACCATGCTTCAATAGAATGATAAAAACTCATGAAAAAGGCCTGGAAAAAAAAAATGATGGTAGTCCTAGAAAAGACTAAAGGGACATGTTCAATCAAGGTATGTCCACTAATTCACATCACAGAGGTATAAAGCCTTGTAATCAGTCAATGGACCTATATAAAACTGTGCTGTTTGGTGACATGGTGCGTACCACACTCAACATGAACCAGAGGAAGTAAAGGAAAGAATCGTTTAAGTAGATAAGAAAGACAAATACAGACAGCCAAGTTCAAGGTAAAGGCTATAAGAACATCTCAAAGCAGCTGGATGTTACTCTGACAACAGTTTTCTAGCATCTTCTAAAATTACAGATCCATAGGACTGTGGCCAACCTCCCTGAATGTGGCTGCAGAGGGAGAGCTGATGAAAAATCAAAAATATGGATGATACAAATGGTGAAAAAAGAACCCCCCAAAAACTTCTAAATATACTAAAGGTAAACTTTAAGGTTAAAAAACATCAGTGTCAGATCACACCATCCATGTTTCAGCCAAAGTGGACTTAACAGGAGATGACCAAGGAGGACATCATTATTTAACATAAAACATAAAAAAGACAGCTTGAAGTTTGCCAAATTACATGTTGACAAGCAGCAAAGCTTCAGCCAGAATGATCCATGGACAGATGGGGGGGAAAAAAGTGTAACGTTTTGCCAAATGATATTATCTCTAGGTTTAGCGACAGAAAAATGTAGCGTATCAAGAAAAATAACACTCCCTCACCTGTGAAACATGGAGGCTCTGTATGATCTTTGGCTGCTCACTTGAGAAATGGCATCTTGGATCTTTGCTGGGTATAATTAAATCTCAAGACTGTTTAGGGATTCTAGAGAGAAATGTGCTGCCTAGTGTGGCAATAGCAACAGGATATTAACCCAAAACACAGATTATGGCTAAGATAAAAACACCGGACTATTCTGAAGTGCCTTTCTATCAGTTCTAAGGGTGTGCAAAATAATCATCATGACGATGCATGGCGATTCTAAGTTTTGTGATCTACCGCATCGATTCTTGAAGGCAAGAATCGATTATAAAAAATAAAAAAAATGAACAAATAAAATACATTAATGGTTGGCGCACATCAGCTAAACCAAGTGGAATACAACTTCCAGTCCAGTAGATGTCGCTGAGAATGTGTTGACGCCTGCTGCTTTGCGTCATAAGCATGTCCGGCCGCGGGATACTGAAACGCGTCATTCGTAAACAAAACATGGAGGACACTGAGAAAATTCGCCCGGCTCCATCACATTGCAAGTCAGATACTTGGATGCATTTTGGCTTTAAAAACAAAGAAGGTAAACACGAAATTGATATGACGAACGTAATTTGCAAAAGGGGAAATATACATTTGAATCTTTTAATTTCATTGGTTTAAAGGACCACTGAGGCCATGTAAACAGCACCGATTATCCTTATTTTGTTATTATAAGTTTGATGAATCCTAAGATCTTTTTGTCAGTGTGTCCACGCCAGTAATGGTAATATTTCTGTCCAGTATTTGTTTTCATGGCCACACCTCCAAAAGTCGTTTCAATAAATACAGCTATGTATGAATTCAGTTGCTTTCAGTTATGCATCAATTGAACACACTATCCAGATCACACCCAGCCAGTCAGCCACTGGTAATGGCTGTATCTTTAGAGTGTTCAGTGAAAATATCGTGATGCATCGCAATATTTCAAGTATCGTGATGCATCGTGATAGAATCGCATCGTGGCATGTGAATCGTGATTCGAATCGAATCATGACTTCTTTGCCCATACCTACCCCTAATCAGTTCTGACCCAAATTCTATGGAACATCGTTGGAAGGAGCTGAAACACGCCATCTGGAAAAGGCAGACTTCAAACAACAGACAAGAGCAGTTTGCTCATGAGGGGTCGGCCAAAACACCTGCTGAAAGTTGCACAGGTCTCACAGAATTACAGAAATTGTTTGATTGCAGTGATTGTTTTTAAATAGGTCAGGCAATAAAATATTAAGTTAAACGTATCTTCATTTTTATCCAGGCCTGTTTCATGAGTTCATTTTATTACATTATTCAGTTGAAGCATGGTCAAAAGGCTGACTGTCAGTTGCTCATTTTCATTTATTTAGTATTACTTTTTGTCAGAATCAGGTTATTATTGTCAACTCTGTGTTTTTTTCATTCATTAAACGAGGGGTAGCAGTTTTGTTTTCCATTTCTGGACTACTTCATATTTATAATTTATAAAACTACCAACAAGGTGTATTTCTTCATTTATCTTAAACAACCAGAGTCACATTTTAATATCTTAAAAAATAATAATAAATGCCTAAACTACAAAACATTACAAAACAGGGAGCATCGTTGGTATAAAGCAGGAGTAAAGAGGTGAGAAAGAAGGAGGAATTTAAAGCCATCTCTTCCATTAATCCTAACAGGCAATATGAGATGTTTAACTAAACTGGATGAACTCTAACAGCTACTCTGCCAGAGTATTGGAAATGTGGAATTGGTTATAATTACATAGGCTGCAGAGTTATAACCCTGAATAAAGCCTCCCTATGTCTGGCTTTGTTACCATAGAAACCGGCAGAGATTTAAAGAGGTCAGCAAAAGCAAAGTAGGTGGATTAGCAGTACAATCCCGATACGGTTTGATTGTAAAAAAAAAAAAAAAAAAAATGTCTTTAAACCAGAGCAAAACAAAAACAATGTTTTTCGGGAACTGTAGAACAAAAATGGAATTTAATATAGATACATAACATCGATGTAGAAGTGATTAACGAAAACAAATTCTTGTTTTTTTTAATTGATCAACTAACCTTGAAATCCCATAATAAACACAAACAAAAAAGAAAATGGTTTAAAAAAAAAATGCTATTAAAGAAAGCCAAAAATGTATTTGATTAAAAATCGTTCCATACTCTAACCTGTTATTTAGTTTAATCCAGAGCAGTCTATGCTTTGTGACAAAGCTTAAGTTCCTCAGTGTTTTTCAGATACAAGAATGTACTATCTTCAATACATTTTTTGAAAAGAAGAAGGCTGTGGTCTCTTTTTTAAATTACCTAAAAGAAGTTTACAACCTACATCATTTATTCAACTTGTCTTGGTTTTTTCAATTCATCATGCATCTATAAATCTCCGGCTGATTAAAAAAAACTAACTGAATCAGTACCATAGTGTTCTCTGGTGACAATACTTTGTTCTGGAATGAGAACTATGAATAAAGTCCAACTGTGTGAACATAAAACTTCAAGAAATGGTGTAACATGAGATAAATATAATGCCATAATGATGCTGTTTGGGAGGGTTAAAGACTTGTAGTCAGAACCAATAAGTTCTTGAATTGTTAAAACGCAAAGTAAAATGACTGCATTACTGTACCTGAGCTGTGAGATATAAGGCAGACACTGTAGGAAATTCCTCACTTCACTCTCTCCATGTGAGCAGTCTGTCAGCTTCAATAGTTTCTTCTCTGATTGGAGCTTCAACACTTCCAGGAGGATGGAGGTCTTTCTCTCTGAGAGCTTTATGGTCCAGACTGGAGGAGCTGACTGGAAAACTGACTGTAATGATGGAAGGAGACTCAGACCTGTTTTAGTCTCACTGTCCTTCATCTGGGAGTAAAGATCCAGCAGAAAATCAAGGCGATATTTGATAGTCTCATCATCATCATCCATTTCTTCATGTTGGAAACTAAATGTTTCAAATCTGCAGACTGATATCAACAACTCCACCATTTTCTCTTTCGTCTGCTTTTCCATTTCTTCTGCTGCACGGAACAGATTTACCAGGAACCTGGTTTGTTCATCAGGATCCAAACTTTGGCCCTCCCAGTCGTCCAAACTGGAACAAGATGATGTAAATATTTAGTCATGGTTTGATCTTCACTGCATAAAACAACGGCACACCAATGACAGACTATTTCTAGTACATGTCTGCCTGCTCCATATGACAATAAATTAAAAACACCGATCAGGTTTGATCACAACATTCTCAAACTTGTTTTAAGATAGAAACTCTGTAACAACACAGAAAATACAAATTGACCTTGCAATGTTTATCATCATTTACTATCATCATTTGTGGGATTTAATCAGAGTTTAGGGGAAAAAAAGTTGGATTCAATCTGCTGTTCAGATGTTTTAGAGAACAATCGGAGGGCAAAAGTATCTCCAGCTTAATTTGGTGGTGCAGTCTGTGTTCCCGTATGATCCTCAGGGCGATGTTTTTTTTTGACTGTTTGTTTTAACATTCATTATGTTTCCAATGCTGTAAAAATGTGTATAATAAATTAACTTAAACAATAAATGTAAACATTTCTGTCAACGAAATTTGCCTAAAACACACTTTTCAGCGCGACACAGCGCCAGGCAGGTGGCTGATGTAAACAAGGCGGTGGGTGTGTCTTGGGCCGTGGATCCCAAAGGTAAAAAAAGGAAAATAGCTGATGAGAACAGAGGATTCAAAGAATAACGGAGAATCATTTGCTTTCATTACCAATGAGGAAGGACTGCCTGCATGTTTGCTTTGTAGCGAGAAGTTGTCGAATGATAAAAAGATTCATTTGGAAAGGAATTTCCAGGAAGAGATGCTAAATAAGCAGCTGACCTTCAAGTTGGGAATGAGAGACAAAATGCGATTGAAGAACTTCTGGATAAATTACAGGAGAGTAAATATAGATTTAAGAAGTGGATTGCATCTCCAAACTTCACTACTAGGCTTGTCCCGATCCAATCCACGTATCGGATCGGGACGCCGATATTGGCAAAAAAATGCGTATCGCCAAAGCATGTAAAATGCCGATCCAGACTGCCGATCAAGTTTTTAAAAAAAAATCCGGTCCGTATTTTCCAGTTTCGCCGATTGAAACGATCCATTCCACTATTTTGCGCCAGTGTTTCCCTGTTTTGCATTTTTATTAAAACTTACAGTAATACTTGCACCTTTAACTGTTTACGGTTTTACTGTTCACTGTGCAATTTCAGATTGCTATTCATAATTTTGTCCAGTTTGTGTTTATCTCTTAATAAACAGGAAAGTTTGTTGTTACCAAGCATTGTGTTTTATTCAATCTCACCTAATTTAGCTGGCTAGATGTTATCAAGAGTACTAAAACCCTTTTCAACATGAGTCTTACAACTAAGGCTAAATACTTTAACTTAAACTTAAATACATGCTCGGATAGGCTGGTATCGGCCAGTATCGGTATCGGATCGGAAGTCCAAAAACAATATCGGTATCGGATCGGAAGTGCAAAAACCTGGATCGGGACATCTCTATTCACTACTGCTGCTAGTTTAGTTGCAAGCATGGAAAACCCACAGATTAAACAGGTAGCATGCTGGGATGTGAACTTTCATCCATTCTTTTCCCCCGAATCCTCATAATAAAAAAATAACACCAAAAATTTGATTTCTTTTTTAAGTGTCTATAATTTCATCAGGCAAAAAACTATTATTACTATTATCTTTTTATTGTAATGGAATTTAAACTTAAAGCACCAAATATTGTACAGCAGTCAAATGAAGTGACATTTGCTCCAGGATAAACATTTAATTATGAATGCTTATTATACATTTAAGCCCACATAGTCCTTTTTTATAGTGGGCTAATTCACTATACGAGGCTTATAGAAGACTTTTACATTCTTACAGCTCCTGACAGATTTGTTTTTTTGGGTTTCTGATCCCTAGGATACAATAGGGGCATGGACGTCTATTTTGCTTATAAAGATCAACTTTCCAACTACAGACTGTTCTTGTGCGAGCCGACAGAATTGACAAACACTCCTGAAGAAGAGTCAGAATGTCTTCAGATAACTGAACAAAAGTCTGGTTGCCTCTGCATTATGCACCATTTTAAATTCACATAATTATACTTTTATATGGACCTGGTGTACAAAAGCAAACAGCATAATTCTAATATGTCAAATATTTCTTTATCCTCTCTTGATTTAATACAAACCAGGGCCTCTGTTTAGCAAAGTAATTATAGATCTATTCAAAGTTAATGCTGGCAAGAATCAAAGTGAAATGTCGGAAAGAGGTAGGCCTAACTTAAATACAAGTCCACATAAAAGACATGCAATCATAACCAATAAGCTCAAAACAATGTAAAAAACAAAACAAAACCAACCAACCTGAGCTGTGAGATATAAGGCAGACACTGTAGGAAACTCCTCACTTCACTCTCTCCATGTGAGCAGTCTGTCAGCTTCACTGGTTTCTTCTCTGATTGGAGCTTCAACACTTCCAGGAGGATGGAGGTCTTTCCCTCTGAGAGGTCTATGATCCAGACTGGAGGAGCTGACTGGAAAACTGACTGTAATGATGGAAGGAGACTCAGACCTGTTTTAGTCTCACTGTCCTTCATCTGGGAGTAAAGATCCAGCAGGAAGTCACTGCGATCTTTATCTTCAGAGTTTTTCTCTTTAAAAGGAAATCGTTGATAGCTACAGACTGATGCTAGCAGCTCTAGCGTCTTCTCTCCTGTTTGTTGTTTTTCTCTTTCTGCTGCTGCACAGAACAGTTTCACTAAGAACCCGGTTTGTTCATCCGGATTATGACTTCCATTATCCCAGTCATCCAAACTGAAGCTAAAATAAAAAAAAAAATGATTGAAAACTAACAGAGGGGCAGACAAAAACACAGGCTCCAAACTATGCTGAAACACTTACAAGTTTATACAGTAACAGGAGCTAATCTGAAATGGTTACAACAGTTTCAAAGCTAGTTTATAGAGAGAAGTATTTCTTTGGATGAGGATAGTAAGACCAAATCCACAGTTTTTAAGTTATGTTGCCTAAGCTTAGTTCCTCATCACTTCAAAAACCTTCCATCGATCCATTTTCTCTTGCTTAGTCCTCGTCAGGGTCGTGGTGGGGCCGGTGCCTATCTCTGGCAGTCTATGGGTGAGAGGTAGGGTACACCCTGGACAGGTCGCCAGTCTGTCGCAGGGCAACAGAGACACACTACCAAGCGCACATTCAACCCATTCTACGCCATAACCCTAAACCTAACCATTACCAATGCATACCTCACCCTAACCCTAACCAATTGACAACTTTGCCCCAAACCTAACCATTAGCAAAATAGCATGTGAGGACCGGCAAAATGTCCTCACTTTGCAACAACTGTTCCCCAACTTGATTGTGAAATTGGAAAAATGGTCCTCACTCTGAGGGCTAAACGGGGAAACACACACATAAGGACAATTTAGAGAAGCAAATTAATCTAAAGATCATTTTTTTGGACTCTGGGAGGAAGACGGAGTACCCAGAGAGAACCCACGCATGCTCAGGGAGAACATGCAAACTCCATGCAGAAAGACCCTGGGCCAGGAATTGAACCCGGAACCTTTTTGCTGCAAGGCAGCAGTGCTACCCACTTTAAAAAAACTGTTTCTGCAAACATCTCAAATCTGATTGATATAAGAAAGGAAAGCTTTTCGTTCTTTGATTGAAGGGTTTTATTTATATGTAACCTGCTTGGTTCAAACACAATGAACATGACACCAGCTGGTCAGTTCTTGTCTAAAACACATGCCGCCATGCTAGAGCTTCCTCACAAACAAGAGATATTTGTTATTCATCTTTTTACTTAGGATTAATTCATCAAAATAATGGAAAATAAGTCAACAACTTTAAATGTTTTACTCTGCACTTAACAATAATCTAAAAAAACAGTTATATACAAGAGCAAGTGCAGCTTCAGACCCTGAACTTTCAGCTTATTTAAAACATCAGTGAACAGTGTGACCAAAGGATGAAGCTTTAAAGTACTAGAGGACCTAAGAATTACAAAGATTATCCCAGTACATAAATCCAAAGATTTGGGCATATTTCATGATTATATGTCCATTATAATCTTGCTTTTCCTCCAAAAGAAAAAAAATAATTCTGAAAACTTGTTTACACACCTATATATATATATATATATATATATATATATATATATATATATATATATATATATATATATATATATATATATATATATATATATATATATATATATATATATATATATATATATATACACTATATTGCCAAAAGTATTTGCTCACCCATCCAAATTATTGGAATCAGGTGTTCCAATCACTTCCATGGCCACAGGTGTATAAATTCAAGCACCTAGGCATGCAGACTGTTTTTACAAACATTTGTGAAAGAATGGGTCGCTCTCAGGAGCTCAGTGAATTCCAGCGTGGAACTGTGATAGGATGCCACCTGTGCAACAAATCCAGTCGTGAAATTTCCTCGCTCCTAAATATTCCACAGTCAACTGTCAGCTGTATTATAAGAAAATGGAAGTGTTTGGGAACGACAGCAACTCAGCCACGAAGTGGTAGGCCACGTAAACTGACGGAGCGGGGTCAGCGGATGCTGACGCGCATAGTGCGAAGAGGTCGCCAACTTTCTGCAGAGTCAATCACTACAGACCTCCAAACTTCATGTGGCCTTCAGATTAGCTCAAGAACAGTGCGCAGAGAGCTTCATGGAATGGGTTTCCATGGTCGAGCAGCTGCATCCAAGCCATACATCACCAAGTGCAATGCAAAGCGTCGGATGCGGTGGTGTAAAGCACGCCGCCACTGGACTCTAGAGCAGTGGAGACGCGTTCTCTGGAGTGACGAATCGCGCTTCTCCATCTGGCAATCTGATGGACGGGTCTGGGTTTGGCGGTTGCCAGGAGAACGGTACTTGTCTGACTGCATTGTGCCAAGTGTAAAGTTTGGTGGAGGGGGGATTATGGTGTGGGGTTGTTTTTCAGGAGCTGGGCTTGGCCCCTTAGTTCCAGTGAAAGGAACTCTGAATGCTTCAGCATACCAAGACATTTTGGACAATTCCATGCTCCCAACTTTGTGGGAACAGTTTGGAGCTGGCCCCTTCCTCTTCCAACATGACTGTGCACCAGTGCACAAAGCAAGGTCCATAAAGACATGGATGACAGAGTCTGGTGTGGATGAACTTGACTGGCCTGCACAGAGTCCTGACCTCAACCCGATAGAACACCTTTGGGATGAATTAGAGCGGAGACTGAGAGCCAGGCCTTCTCGTCCAACATCAGTGTGCGACCTCACAAATGCGCTTCTGGAAGAATGGTCAAAAATTCCCATAAACACACTCCTAAACCTTGTGGACAGCCTTCCCAGAAGAGTTGAAGCTGTTCTAGCTGCAAAGGGTGGACCGACGTCATATTGAACCCTATGGATTAGGAACGGGATGTCACTTAAGCTCATATGTGAGTCAAGGCAGGTGAGCAAATACTTTTGGCAATATAGTGTATATATACACACACACACACACACACACACTAATTAGATTTAGGAAAAAACCCTCTCACTTACATGAAAGCTCTTCAGCCAAATGACAAAAATACTTCTGCTCTCAAGGTTTTAGTTAGATTGTTTTATTCAGTTCAGCACAAGTTGATTTTACAACCAATAATGTTTTATTAGGTACGTTTAGGGAAATTTGTTTGCATATAGTTGTTATTCTGAAAATGATGCAATTCTGTGTGGAGTTGCACAGGGATCTACTCTGGGATCTTTTCTGTTTTTCACTCATGCTAATAACTAACCTTAGTGATACTATTTCACCTATAATGTTTTCTGATAAAAACACATTAGATTGTTTGCATAGTGATTTCAATTCTTTGAAATGAAAAACAAATGTTGCTTTAACTTCTTACATAAAATGGTTTCAGTTAAATAAAGTGTTGTTGGACAGAGAAGTCTAAATCTTTAATTTTAAGAAGGAAAAATATTTAATGTCAAGCACTATTATGCAGGTCTAGTCTAAAAATTTAAATCAGAAAGTTAATTGATTGAGTTAGTACAAACGTTATTATATTTATTGGTATTGTTAGTAAACTGTTTGTTTATATGCTGTTAAGAGTTCAATTTATCCATCTTTTTCATACAGTATTGGATTAGTTCAACGCTGTTCTTCAACGTCTTTGTTCCAAAAACTTCAAATTTTCTGTATTAACATATACCCTTTAAATATGCATTTTAATTTATAACATTTTAAATAATGAAAAAAATCTCAGTCCTTAATTATTTAACTACACAGGCTTTTGAATTATCCCTGATTAAATACCTTACCTGCAAGTGTTCATTTTCAATCCAGTACAGAGGTGCTAAATTAAAAAAATTTACTTTCAAACGTTTCTAAAAATAGGAATTTTATTTCATTTTAACCTTTAGTAAAAATCTAGATTCTAGTTATGATACCCATAGACTTTTTTTCTCATTTTATGTCTTTATGTTTTAGCATATCTTTTATAAGTTTTTTTCTTTTGTATATTTCAATTTATTATTAACCACAGGTTAATAATAAATTAATAATAATTCCAACGTATTCATTCTTACCAGAATAATTTGTATGTATTTCAACATTGTACTAACACATATTAAATCAAAGCTTTAAATACTGAATCCACCCAGTAAGAGTTCAGAGAATTTATTTAAACAGTGAAATAATTTATTTAGTTAGTCATTATTTTTGGGTTTAGAATGCAATTGTTTCAGTTTTATTAATTGCTATTAGAACTGTTGAAACTTCAGGCTTAGTTTAAGGTTCTGGAAAAACAATGTTTTCTTCTGCAGTGAATGAAATGCGCCTCAATGTGAACAGAGTCTCAATGTGCAGATATAACTAAAGAAAGATCACAGTACGGTATAAAATGTTGCTATGGTGACATGGTTTACAAATGTGAAGTAATATAACTATACTGTACCTGAGCTGTGAGATATAAGGCAGAAACTGTAGAAAACTCCTCATTTCGCTCTCGTCATGCGTGCAGCCTTTCAGCTTCACTGGTTTCTTCTCTGATTGGAGCTTCAACACTTCCAGGAGGATGGAGGTCTTTCTCTCTGAGAGCTTTATGGTCCAGACTGGAGGAGCTGACTGGAAAACTGACTGTAATGATGGAAGGAGACTCAGACCTGTTTTAGTCTCACTGTCCTTCACCTGGGAGTAAAGATCCAGCAGGAAACCAATCTGATATTTTCCACCATCTTTAAAAGGGAATGACTCATATGTGCAGAGCAATGCTAGCGGCTCCAGGATCTTCTCCCCTGTCTGCTGTTGTCTCTCTGCTGCTGCAGAGAACAGATTCACTAAGAACTTGGATTGTTCCCGAAGATCTGAGCTCTGAAGATAAAACCTTTAAAAATGAGAAGGAAACATTTAGTAATTTAGTAATCCTGCCCTGTATAATTAAATATACAGGGCAGCCTACTACCAATGTTGGTTTAAAGCATTAGCACATCATGGTTCGTACACAAACTACTATTAAATCAAACTTCTCTCTACTTTTTAAAATTTTTTTTTAGATAATTTATTTGTCTGGGTTTTTTTTTTTCTTTTTTGGTTAAGCAGGGGGTTTCTTTATCTCTGTTCTTCCTGTAAAGCACGATGACTCAGCCTTTAATGAACAAATAAAACATCCTGTGGTTTGCCCTTTTCAGCTGCAGTGTATTTTAAATGGATAAGTCTTCATGCATATAAATAAGTTGATCCGGCACACCTAGCACGGCTTGATTCAGAGTCTGTCCGCCTTTTTGAAGGCTCCCACTCTTAGGAGACTCAGCGCTCCAGCAGATGTGAGAAAAGCACTCAGATCTTTATAATTCCACTCTAAAAGCTCAGCTTAAACTCTGAGGACAGTTCTTACAGGACTGTCCATTAAACACCAGATAGAACATTTAGCCCATGTACACAGAAACTCTGGCAAATGTATAACTTAGTAATGTAAACATTTAAAGCAACTATGTCCATTTTCATGCAGTCTAAATAGCCTGAAATTATTCATCCTCCATCTGAACCCAGAATCAAGAAGAAATCGCTGATGACCAGCTTTATGCTTCAATCTCTGGTCTAAGGCAAGGCAAGGCAAGGTTATTTGCATAGCAAAATTCAGTACAAGGACAATTCAAAGTGCTTTACAAGAAAACAGAAGAAAAAAAAAGCAAATAAAGATAAAAACACGATAAAAGCAGGTAGTAAAATGAATAAAGCAGTTATTTAGAAACTTATGAGTAACAGAAAGGACTACTGTTGTGTTAAATTCAGATACTTGCATGTAAAAAAAAACATAAAAAGAGGAAATTTTGTTTTTCAAAAAGCAGACTTTGTTGGTATCATTGAGATTTTTTTTCTTCATCTTACCCCTTCATATTCAATTAGCGGCTTAGTTGTAAGACCTTAACAACTGATGTTCTGAACCTAAAGCTTTTTTATTCATTCGTATTCTCATTGTAAACACTAGCATCATTACAATTTCTTCAAGTAGTTTTACTTTGTGTTTGATTTAGAAACATAATTTCTTTAAATTTAATCTCTTAAATGAGGAAGTTATGTCCCCTTGAAGGCAGTTGCGCCTCGGGACTTCCCTTCCGGTTCTTTTCCTGGGAGCAAGTTATATACTACTCTTAACTCAAACTGGGTAAAACCATATAAAAGGGGCTATAAAAACAGGAGTAAAAAAGTAGCAGCGTTTATTCCAGATCAGGTCATTACGGGACAGAGAAAATGCTTGGAGCTTGCACAGCTTTGGGCTCAAAAAACGTCAGCGAGCGTCCGGCAAAGATTGAGCCCCAAACAAGGTAATCTCCTGCTTCTTATACCTCATGAGTCTATGTGTTGGATCATGTGGATGTTTAGCTGTCCGTATCAGAAACTGACACGCCATCCATGCCCAAGGATTACAGATAGCTCTCCTCCATCAGTCTGGCTCCAAGATGTGCCCATATCCTGTGTATCTTTAAAAGACAAGAAGGCTGTCCTATTTAGATGACCTCCGTACACACAGTGACATCCACAATGTGAAGGAAGGCCTTCTACTCTGTCTAATTTTGTTCATTATTCTTGTGTTTTATGTTTCCGTGTTTTTACTACCCTGGTTTTATACATATTGAGTAAATCAGACATTTTTACCCATTTCCTATTCTGCTTCCCTCATACCGGCAACCTGTGACATTTCAACCACTTATGAGACGGACATCTTCATGTCTGATTGTGCTTCTCCTACATTTAAATTCAATTTCAATTCAGTTTACTTATATAGCGCACATTCACAACACATGTCATCTCAAGGAAAACCAGTTGATTACATCGACTCATTGACTCGAATGTAATCCCTCGAACTAAGCATACTTGTAGCGACAGTGGAGAGGAAAAACTCCCTTTGAACAGGAAGAAACCTCCAATAGAACCAGGCTCAGTGTGAGCGGCCATCTGCTGAGGCCCACTGGGGTTCAAGACAGAAGCAGAGATACAAAAAGCAGCTGTAAAAGGCGGCCCCATCCAGGAAACACACAACTCAACATTCGAGGACAGTTTCCTTATTTCTAGACACCTGCTTCAAAAGAGTATTTTACTTTTAAATGTCATGCAAACTTAATGTACTTGATGCACTTGCTGATGTGCCTATTTAGGAAATGCTTTACCCTTAAGACCTTCATTAACTCACATGGATGACGTTACTCAGAAATGGGACTGCAGGCTTCCAAAAAAGGGACTACAAAAAATATAAGTCTGACAAAATGTAGCGAACACATACCTAAACATACAAAGTTATGTTCATTTTCATATGTCCCACACAGTACATGTAAAGCGATACTGTATTACAGTTAGGTCAGATGTGTAAAAAAAAGATGGTGGGATTCCTTATTGCTACTAATCCCCAGTTAGGAACATTATGAACTCCCTACGCAAAGGAATCTATGATAGGAAGCATACAGTTTCCTTTTCCTACCTCCTTCTTAACCACCACTGTTCAGACAGCAAAACGTTATTACCTATTTGATATATTTGGATATAGCCTTATACCTATAGTTTAGTATGTAGGCACAGGTAAGGACCGGTTGACTTACCTAGGTCCATATGTCCTGAGTGAGGGGAATTTCAGCACTTTCAGGAGGATAGTGGCTCCTTTCTGGGATGACGGCAGGAAACTCAAGCCTGTTTTGAGCTCATACGAGTACAACTCCAGCAGGAATTCAGACCATTTCTGTTTAAGAGGGGATGTTTTGTAAATGTAGACTGATGCCAAACGCTCAAGTATCTTCTTCTCTTTTTGCTGTTCTCTCTCTGCTGCTGCTGCACAGAACAAACTTCTTAGGAACCTGATTTCTTCAGAGGCTTCGGATGTCCAGGGCTCAAAACTAAATGCATTAAACGAAAAGGAAAAGGATAATGTCTGCTTTTAATGTTAAAACACACATTTTTCCAGTTCTTAAATTTATCTTAAGCTTATCAAAATAAATGACTGAAAACAAGTGAGATTAAATATTGGGAATGACTGTACCTGAGCTGTGAGATATAAGGCAGACACTGAAGGAAGCTCCTGACTTCCCTCTCTTCATGCGAGCATCCCGTCAGTATCAGTTGTTTCTTCTCAGCTTGGACTTTCAGCTCTCTAATGAGGACAGAGGTCTTTCTCTCTGAGAGGTCGATGATCCATGCCGTAGTAAGCGACTGAAAAACTGATTTTAAGAAAGGAAGTAGACTCAGGCCCGTTTTAGTCTCGCAGTCCTTTACCTGAGAGTACAGATCGAGCAGGAAAGCCCTCTGAGATTGCTCATTCATATCCATGTCGCTCACAGGTATTACTTTAAATCTACACACTGATGCTAATAAATCCAGCATCTTCTCTCCCGTCTGCTGCTCTCTCTCTGCTGCAGCACAGAACAAATGCACTAAGAAACACGTTTCGTCGTGAACTTGTGAGCACCCAGGAACAAACCTAAAACAATCAGAAAAAAAAATATTAGCCTTAATCTGACATAAAAAAGAAGACTTGATGGTTTCCATGACACATCCTTCAAGTTTAAAACATTTTAAGAGACATATAAACAATTTAATGGTGTGATTGGTATAAATATGTTACGTTTCAGTTTCTCATTTCAGAACCACAAGGAGAAACTGGTAAGTTTGTTCTTGGATGTGGAGATCACATTGCTCATTTTTAAAACTGAAAAGTGTGCAATAACATTTTAAAACAAATGCAATGTTAAGATTAGAAGCCAAAGATATTTTAAGACCATTTAAAGATGAGCTGTAGCCTTCTGAGCCATTTGTAGATGCTGCAGAGATGACTTAGCAAGTCTGGTGCATAAAGTATTAGGATGGTCCAGAATGAGACGATGCAATCAACTGGTTTTCCTTAGAGATAAAACCTGGATGATCTGGTGAACTGCAAAGTGCCTTGAGATGACATGTGTTGTGAATTGGCGCTATAGAAATAAACTGAATTGAATCGAATCATTGGCTGCAATATCAGATTTTCCAAACCAGAAGACCACAGTCTGTTACTGTAGTTAAAACTAATCAAAATACCTTCATTATCATCATACATATTTAAATGATGAAGTTGCAGCAGCTGCCGCTAAGCGATGCTTAAAATTAAGGGAAAAGAAACAAGTATATAAAGTTAGAATAAATAAGAAGAAAAGGAAAATATTAACATCTTCCAGATTTTAATTCAAATCTAAACTGAAGGAGCTCGGTGAAGCCATAGAGTTAGAGTATCGTCTCAAAGATATTCTGCCAATCAGTCTGGCACCTCCAGAGGGAGGAGTAGCTTTTCGGTAGCATAGTTTACAGTGGGAGTGACTTTATAACTCATGGTTTTTTTGGGACACTGGCTCTATGAGGACAGAGTCAGGGGCCCTTTATTAGGGGCCATCCAGTCCCCTAGTGAACGCTAAATGCAAAGTGCTTGGTCAGTCCATGATTCTTAAATGGATGAAGGTGGCTTGTCCTAAACGGGTTGGAAGGAAGCTCCTGAGGAGGAGCTCAGAGTAGAGCCACTGCTCCTCCATTCATCTGATGACACCATCCCACTGAGAGGAGGTCTAGATCCATCTCAAAGGCTTTAATCCAGGATATGCTGGAGGGACTATGTCTCTTTGTTGGCCTGGAACACCTGTGGTTTCCCTCGGAGGAGCTGGAGGAGGTGTCTGTGGAGAGGGAAGTCTGGGTGTCTCTGCTTAGACTGCAGCCCCCGCGATACAGAACCCAATAAAGTATTAGGCTACTTTGGATATTGGATTTTAGTTGGAAAATTATATTTTACTGTGTGCAAATTATTGTGTTGTTTGTTTAAATGCGTGTTTAAATGCTTTCAGTTTTTAATCTGTGGCTTTGAATAGTTAGCAGGATTCCGTGTTTGGATCTGTTGCTCAAGAGGGAATATTTAAGGATAAAATGAGCTAAAAAAAGTTATAAAAACCTGGCTAAAAAAATACAAATATATAGTTTTAAACAGCAACATTTTAATGAGCCTTAAAAAATACATTTATATCAGAAAACACAACAATAATAATTGTAGAAAAATAGTGTTTAATACAGTTGATGTACCTGAACTTGGATATAAAAGGCACACATGGTAGGAAGCTCCTTACTTGACGTTCTTCTTGTGACCAACCTGTCAGCTTTACTTGTTTCTTTTCTGTTTGGAGTTTTAACACTTCTAGGAGGATGGAGGTCTTTCTCTCTGACAGGTCTATGGTCCAGACTGCAGGAGTTAGCTGGAAAACTGACTGTAATGATGGAAGGAGATTCAGACCTTTTTTAGCCTCACAGTCCTTCATCTGGGAGTAAAGATCCAGCAGGAAGTCACGTCTATATGTGTCATCCATGGATCTGGTATTGAATGGAAAATGTTTATAGCTGCAGACTGAAGCTACCAGCTCCAGCATCTTCTCTCCTGTCTGCTTTTCGCTTTCTGCTGCAGCACAGAAAAGTTTGGTAAAGAATCTGGTTTGCTCAACTGAGTCTGACCAGAGCGGAGCCACACTGCAACAAAAAAAAAGAAGAAACAGCAAATAACCAACACATGTATAAACATTTATATAAAAAGTGCATTTTAGCATTTAAAAAACAGAAAAAGTTAATTTAAACTTCACTGATACAATTTTATCAGTTTCTTTCATGGTCTAGCGCCCCTAGTGTCTAAAAGTCACAAACTGTTACTTAAAGTCGTAGTGAAACTGCTGTTCTAAACTTTGCAGCTCAGAAATTCTCCCGAGTGGTGCCCGACTTTACACGAATGAATAAAGTGGATGTGATTGGTCGATTATCAAGGGGGTGGGATTGTTGTGGCAGAAGGTTCGCAAGCAATTTTGGTTGTGGCTGGATTGTCAGAAGCATCTTGCTAACCAGTTAGCAACTTAGTGCTAGTAGGTTCCCAATGGGAAATTCCATTGGGACCAAGTAGCACTAAATTGGTGACTTAGAAACGACACTGTCAAGGAACGCTATGGACAGAGGAAACATGCAAGAGGAGGAGAGTTTAGTGTCGGAGGTCGTGGATGAGTCTCCTCAGTCATTCATTTTTTATTTAGAGGAGGAAAGCAGGACGAAGATGTTGTGGAAGAGGACGCCAGGGCGGCAGAAGCTTGGTTTGGTGTAGAAGGCTTCCAGCCGTACATGTTTGAGCCCTTGCCTCGCAACGCTGCCAGTTCTGTTAGCTCTACGCCTGCTGAAGACACAGACGTCCATCCCCGTGAACACTGGGACGGAACTCAATGGGAAAGGAAATGATTCTGATTTCTTACTTCAACCGTTGCGTATATTAGCTGCGACATATGAATCAAGATGCTATGACCGAAAAAAATTTGATTGACAGATGACCATTGATATATGATTGTCCAAATTTAAGAGTACAAGCTGACGTATAACTAAAAAACCCCCCACAGATTTTAAGACAAGATTTTTATTTTTATAGAAATTTTCTAAATTTTGGGACAATATAGTTGGATAAATAGTACATTTATATACACGTTTAAGCCAGAATGATTTGACATTTAATTATGACTTCCCTACGACTTTAAAGGAAGCAAAGAGTTTGGAAGTCACTCGCTAAAGGTTAGCATTAGACAACCTTGCAATCAGCTGACAAGCAGTATGGAAAAAGAGCGGGGAAATGCACCACTTACTGGCCGGGAGGACTTAAACTTGTATCACCTTTAAAGTCAAGAAAAATTATGCAACCGCTTTCATTTAAAATGTGCCATATTCTTTAGCAAAACACATTGGTGAATTAATATAGGAGTAGCAGAGTATAAGCAATCCTCGAGCACGGACGTAACTGATTTAGAGCCTGGATGACAGAAATTGCACCAAAGATGATGCAAACAGACCGTCCTATCACACTGCATGCTCCACTCAGTCTGAGCTGATGAAATGCAGCCATGCTGCTGCCTGGTCTTGGACACTTGCATGTTTGGGCAGGTTGGGTATTTTGGCAGAGGAAGTTTGTTTGCATGGTTGTGTGTTGTTTGGAACCGAATGCAAGCAGGTTTAGATCTATTGCCCTGCAGGTTCGTTTGCCATCATATAATGATTAAAAAAATGAACATTTTGCAGGTTTTGTTTATATTTATTACATTAACTTATTATCTTCTAAATTTGCTTACGTACTTTTATCACATTTCTTATTCTTTTTATGTCAACTTTTTATAAATGCTATAGAGAAAGATATCAGACTTAAGGGAAAATCATCATAATTTACCTGAGCTTTGAGATATAAGGCAGACACTGGAGGAAACTCTTTGTCTCATTCTCCTCATGTGACCACCCCGTCAGGTTCACTTGTTTCTTCTCAGGTTGGTGTTTTAGCATTTCTACAAAGATGGAGGTCCTCCTGTTTGAGAGGTTTAGGAACCAGACTGCAGGACCTGACTGGAGAACTGACTGGAACAATGGAAAATTCAATCCCGTTACAGTTTTATAAGAATAAAGGTCCAGAAGGAAGTCACACCATTTCCACTGGAGAGGAATGCCTTTGTATGTGCACACTGATAATAACAGCTCCTTCATATTATTGCCTTTCTGCTGTTTTATTTCCGCTGCAGCACAGACCAACATTTCCAACAACCTGATGTCATCTGGAGACGCGGCTGGCATTGTCGAAACACTGAGAAAAGGCAAAAAGCAAGAAAGAATTTGAAAAAGACAAATCAACTAAAAGGGAAAGTATGAAATACCAAAAGGATAATCTACCTGAGCTTTGAGATGTAAGGCAGACACATTAGCAAACCCGTCACTTCATTCCCTTCGTGTGAGCAGCCGCTCAGCCTCAGTTGTTTCTTCTCTGGTTGGAGTTTCAGCACTTCTAGGAGGGTGGAGGTCTTTCTCTCAGAGAGGTCTATGGTCCAGACTGCAGGGGTTGGTTGGAAAACCGACTGCAGCATTGGGAAGTTATAGGAAAACCTTCTGCTCGCTGCATGTTGATGCAAGTCCAGAAGAGTATTCACCAGGTCTGTTTTGACGTGACTAACCGACACAAGCTCAGTCATTACGCTGTGAAACTTCTGTTTTCCAGGGACAGCTGCTGCGACGCATAAATCCAGGTACATGTCCATCTGATCTTTTCCCAGTGTGTCGCTGCTTTGCTCCTGGTCCAATAAACCTGCATCTCTGTAGGCCATCCTGAAGGTTCATGACAACAACAATATGTTGGACATGATTTTCTCCCACACTGTTTGCATTTGATCACTGCTGCACTTTAAGGAGCGGAAATGTTAATTTCCTGCCTGGAAAGCTGTACTATATGAAATTTCGTTTTGTATACACTGTGCAGACAAAATGACAATAAACGTTGTCTAAGTCTAAAGGCTGATTTATACTCAGAAACCAGGTCGTCTGCGTGTGTTGCTGTAAACGCAGATATGATTCCGCCCCCTCCGCGGACACACCTCTCCGAAATTGTAGGTGACTGCAGACAGGAGGCCTCTGACTGGTCAGATCTACACTAAGCGTATTTACTGAAGAGGATTAGGGCCAGTGGGAAAAAAAAAGTTAACTGATTTTTAAATTTTATTTCAGTTTAGTATGGGAAAGATTTCTCAGAATTCTGACTTTAATCTCAGAATTCTGACTTTTTTCTCAGAATTCTGACTTTTTTTATTGTCAGAATTGAGTCAGAATTCTGAGGAAAAAAAAGTCAGAATTCAGACTTTTTTCTCAGAATTCTGACTTTAATCTCAGAATTCTGACTTTAATCTCAGAATTCTGACTTTTTTATCAGAATTCTGACTTTTTTCTCAGAATTCTGACTTTAATCTCAGAATTCTGACTTTTTTCTCAGAATTCTGACTTTTTTCTCAGAATTCTGACTTTAATCTCAGAATTCTGACTTTTTTCTCAGAATTCTGACTTTAATCTCAGAATTCTGACTTTTTTCTCAGAATTCTGACTTTTTTTATTGTCAGAATTCAGTCAGAATTCTGAGATTAAAGTCAGAATTCAGAGAAAAAAAAAGTCAGAATTCTGACTTTTTTCTCAGAATTTTGACTTTTTTTATTGAGATTAAAGTCAGAATTTTGAGAAAAAAGTCAGAATTCTGAGATTTAAAGTCAGAATTCTGAGATTAAAGTCAGAATTTTGAGAAAAAAGTCAGAATTCTCAGATTTAATGTCAGAATTCTGAGATTAAAGTCAGAATTCTGAGAAAAAAGTCTGAATTCTGACTTTTTTCCCCATACTAAACTGAAATAAAATTTAAAAATCAGTTAACTTTTTTTTTTTTTCAGTGGCCCTAATCCTCTTCCGTAGATTTCTAAATTAGTTGACGGTTATTTAAATAATTGATTAAAATGGAAATGTAGAATCAACATATCCAGAAACTATTTAAATATGTGATACCAGACAAACTGACCTGATGGACCTGATGTGCGGCAGAGCTTCTAAAAGGTATTCACGCAGAATCTGACACAGTCGGTCTCCTCTGTCCCCGTAGAGGCAGACATTCACCCTCGTCGTCATCTTCTGCATCACTTTTACAAACCGGTCAAACAGGCGTCTTTTACCCACGACTGGGAGGGAAACAACGTTCCCACTGAGGCCCAGTAAGGCGGAGTAATCCATCGGTTCTTCACTGAGGAGGAAAATCTTCCACAGCTGCTCTCTGAGGATATCACACCTGTCAATTCAAGATAAAAACATTACCAATCACTTTAATGGTGAGTTCAGTAATAAAACATTCTAATTAATACCTCATGTGAGTCTAAAAAGGCCCATTAATTCATACCACTGAACATTGTGAAGGCATCCAAACAGTCGTCTCACTCCTTGGTCTGATACGGTTACATCCTGAAGGTTCAGGCTTGTTTTCCCTTCCTTCGACTGAGTGACAATAAAGGCCACAGCTTGGCAGGAATACGGGTCCAGATTCTCTCCACTGAGGTCCAGATGGAAGTCCAGTTTGTTTAGAAAGGAGATGCAGGCTCCAACGCTCTGGGACTCGTACAGACATCGGTACTGGAACAGTCTGTCGACTTTGGGCTTGCTGCAAAACGTGTCGATCATCTCTTTGAGGAACCAATCAGATGTTCTCTTTAGCTCCACAGCTGGAATCAGACAGCTCATCAAACGTGGATTCCTGTCATTCAACAAGCGACACATGAAAGGGATCAGATGTTTCATGTGTTTCATCTCATCAGTGAGGCTCTTCTGAAACACCTCCCTGATCTTCTCTGGATTCATTAAAAGCCACAGAGCAGCAAAGAACTCCTGCATGGTGTAATGGAGGAAAGTGTGGACAGTTATGGTTTCAGTAGGAGCGACTTTTACATCAAGTGATTTCAGGAAGGAACGAACGCAGCTGTCCTCACAGGAAAGTCCTTCCAGCTTCACAGTTTTACTTTGAGTTGCATAAAAAGCAGCTTCAGCCAGAGACATGATTTCATCCCTCTTGGTTCTGATTAACTGACTCAGATTCTTCATCCTGGTTCTGTTGCTGTTCATCTGGAGACTAAACCGAACAATATTGATGTATGTTTCAGTGACAGTTCTGGGCTGCAGAGAGAAATCTGATGAAACGCCGGCGGCCACCATCAGAGCATACATTGGAACATGAGAAAGAGTCACCAGCTCCACGTTACTCAGAACCTCCAGATGATCGTCACCCAGTGCTTTAGACAGATATGTTTTTATTGCTCCTTCACTGAAGCCTTTCACCTCCACCCTGAGCCTATTCGGAAGGCGGATATCTTCCTCATCCTCCGGTCTGCAGGTGATGATGATTTTTGCATCTTTTTCAACAAGTTTCTGCACCACCGGCGACGAGAGATCAGTGACTCCATCTAGAATGACTGTAACATTATCCGGGTTCCTCTCTATATCCTGTAAGATCTCTTCTCTGCCTTCACCGGGTTTACTGTACAGACTGAAAAGAAGATCCTCCAAAGTCAAGGTCGTCGGGGCGTCGGCCATTTCCCTCATGTCAAAATAAAACATGTAATCGATCTCTTTGATGTCTGTTTCTATCCACAGTCTCAACATTTCATGGCTCAGGGCCGTCTTTCCAGCTCCAGGTTTCCCAACAAGGAGGACGTTTTTATCCGTCTTCAGCAGGTCACTGGGGGAGATTGCTGGTTTTTGCGTCGTAACGTGAGTCCTTAACCTTTTAGGACGACACATCTTGATTTTGGGTGGGAACACGTCCCCTTGGATTTCCAGTGCTAGTGGAGAGTACGAAAAATTGGGTTTCTTATTTTCTTCGAAAAGATTTTGACTTGCCCTCCAGAAATCCTTTGACAACTTTTCTGCTTTTGATTTTAACTTTGCTTGATATCTGTGACACCATCTTGGTCCTAAGACTGAAAAACATAAGCGAGAGAGGAGGAACATTCATACAGGGACTAATTGCTGTGATGAAAGTTGTAAAAATGCTAACAAGAAATCAATAGAAATAATTACCCTGTATGTAGTATGGAGCCATTTCTGCGTCTTCTGTGAAGGGAAAGCAGCTGATCCAGTGGTGCAGGTCAAACCTTGTATTCCCAGGTGAGTCTTCCTGACTGTCCTTTAAGAAAGGAGCTCCTCCCTCTAAGGTCCCCCCCCTCGTCAGGTCAATAATCCTCAGTAACTGGTAGCAGGCTGCTTCACCTTTTCTAACGACCGAGTCCAGTGTTGCTATGGTTCTATCATAGTCATCTTTCTCTGCCTTTATTTTGCTGACCTCTTCATAAGTTAGAACACCTTGCAAGTTCTCAAGAATGACCGACAGGTTCCTTAATTGTCCAACGAGGTGAACTCTGGCATTCATCAGGTAATCCAAGGCCGACTGCGATGTAGAAGCCATGACTCCTGACTTCTGTCTCATAAACCAGACTCCGCTGATCTGAATGACCAAGAAACCAAAAGTTAAGCACAAGTTTGTCTAAATTTCTAAAGCATTTGACACCGTAGACCATGCTATTTTGAAACGCAGGCTACTTCTCATTGGACTGTCAGAGAATGCGGCTGATTGGTTTTCAAATTACCTTGAAAACAGGCCCCAGAGTGTTTTTCATGAATTTCTTATAGAGGCACTTTTGTTATTTTTCTCAGTATATTTCGGCAAGTTAGCATTTCTTGTTATTACATTGACAATCATTTTTACAGCAAAACATCTATATTTTTTTATGTTAGGAAGGTAATAAGGTCTCTTCCTGGATTCCAATAACACTATTGGCTTGAAATTTGGATTTTAAAACTATTTCACTGAGTTCCCTATCAAGGGTTATAACTTACACCATCTAAATCACTTTTTTTTTTCCATTAGCCACTAACCATAAACATGTTTCTGGGTCATGTAAGCAAAGAAATAAAAAAGAAAACATTAAAAAAATGATAGAAATGAGTGATGGGTCCAGTAACCCTGATGGTTTGGTGCAAAATTGTCAAACAAAATGTATTTTTGTTTGCAGTTGTGCATACAAGTCTAAGTCTAAGCATGCGTGGAGCCCATAGAGCTAAACGCTGCATCGGAGCGCGTTGTTTCCAGAAAGTCATGTGACCGATACAGGAGTTGTTTCTAACTGACTGACTCGGTAAACTGGGTTTAAAAACGGATCTGTCAACATGATGCATCTGCTAAAAAAAAAAAATCAAGAATTCGTAGCAGCCTAAAAGGAATAGGAATGTTTCAGCCGTTTTTATTTTAATTTTCTCGTTGTGTCATCCTTTTCCTCTGTTATCACTCAACTTATCTGAATTAAAGTTCATTTCAAATTGACTCTTAGTTTATTTACTGTTTTTACTCTACGTATTGTTTTAAAATCCTAGTCCACAAGCATCCTCATTCATATTTTCCCCTAAATTTAGAGTTATAATATATGTTTACATTATTTATTGAGTGCATCTAAAATATCTAATTTCAATGATATCATTGTACTAGGTCAGAGGTCTTAAACAGGGGGTCCGCGACCCCTAGGGGGTCCGCAGAGGTACTGCATGGGGGTCGCGAAGTTTTGGTTAATTAGACTTATATTCCTCCCTGCAATATTTTCCACTAATTAAAATGTCTTTAAATCCACATTAACATGATTTCAACACACTGTAGTAAACAGATAAATGGAGGCAGAAGACGTCTTTCCGTCATCAATGCAGATCTGCGTTTCTGAGTAAAAATAAGTCAAATATCTGACAAAAGAGTGGAAATTAGAAGATCATATAAAAAATGTTTTGTTATTGTTGTTCCAATAAGTTTAATAGTAAGAACAGAAACATAGACTCTAGATTTATTTAGTTCTTCAAAAAGTCAGAGAAAGAATATCAAGATTTGACGCATAAAATATCTAAAAAACATGACAAATGAACCAGAGAAAAGAGGTCAAACAGGTATAGGATAGCTGTAACCTAAACCTTTTTTTTATATTCCTCCTGCAATTTTTTCCACTAATTGAAATGTCTTTAAATCCACATTAACATGAATTCAACACACTTTAGTAAACAGATAAATGGAGGCAGAAGATGTCTTTCAGTCATCAATGAACCCATTCAGCGACACACAGGAGCTCTTTCAATCTGGACACCGTTTCATTCACAACACCTGCCCCATCAACCAGGAATCAGAAATACTTTAATAATCCCAGGGAGGGATTACTTTAGTTACATTACTCCATCTGTAATAGAGTGGCTATAGAACCAGTTCGATATAACACAATTTCATAGAATATATCAAATGAGGGGGTCCCCGCTCCATCTCGCCATCAGTTTAGGGGTCCTTAGCCTGGAAAACATTGAAGACTCCTGTACTAGGTCATCAAATCAATTGAGTTTAGTCTGTCCAATAAGCTGCCTGTAGTGTCTATAAATGTCCAGCAGGTGTCAGTATTCTATGAGACAGTATCAACGCAGCATCAATCCAGTTTGGCTTCAAGATGCCTCATTAACCATCACTTATAGAAATGTATATTTCATTGATTGGCCGGTTATTAAGTTTATTTGCACACGAATTTAGGTCAAGCTTATTTTTTTTGGCCCATAGCTTATTTTAACGAGTCAATTTTTGTGATGAATGGAAGATCCCTTTTCTGACATCATCACTGATCTACTGTCACGTGTCCCTCTGACAGAACAGCTGTTTAGAAAATAAAACGAAAGTGAACCTTTTATTTTTTATTTTTTTGCAAAGGAATTCCCCTGATATCCCATTGGTGTCACAGTAATCATTTCTATCCAGCATAGATTTAAAGAAGTAAAAAAATATATATACACACACACATATATGCTTTCATTAAAATAATATGAATTAAAAACAACTTACAGAAAGCTAACTACATATATGTATACATATATATACACACACACATATATATATATGCATATATACATACATATATATACATATAAATGATTAACTTTATCCAAATGAAGCCTTTATGTAAACACAGTTTCACAACTTTGTGTCCTTTTTATGGCTAATCAAAATATGGTAATGTAAGATAAAATTACAGCATTATTTTCCCAAGCTAGACAACGTTTCCTTTTTAATTCCAACACTTTAATGCTTTCATTAAAATAATATGAATTAAAAAGCACTGACAGAAAGCTAACTAAAGCTAACTGTTCAGAAGCTAAAGCTACTACATACAGTAGCAACATTAGAACTAGCTAGGTGAGCTAACTGTTAAAAAACCTTTAAATCATGAACATTGTTCGCATTTAAATGCAGTTTATGTCTTTAAAGGGAAGAAAAGTGACTTCTGACAACAACCCGACATGTTACTTTTATTAAGTTCGACTTTTATCGGAAAAGTCACTTATTAAAAACAGTGAAAAATATCTAGAGAGAGCAGAAAGCAGCCAACCTGCCTTCTTTATTTCTAATGACAGAATTAATTGTTTCCATTAAACATTTATTGGGGTTTAAACTAAATATAGACACACAAAGAAATTCTGCTTTACGGAGTTAAATTAAGGAACCTGTACTTCTAACATGTTCTGACAGGCAGAAAACAATCATGTTTGTTTTCAATGTTGCTCCTGTTTCAGAATCACCCTAAATGTTTTAAAAGAAGACATGGAAACTTTAAATTAGGAATATATTTAAATCTTACCTGTGTGGCTGTGTTTCACAAACATTACAGTGATCTCCCACCGCTGTGGTAACTCTTTCCTTTTCCCTAAAAGGCTGAACTTTAAAGTTTTGCTTTCTCTTTTATTGATGCTAAACCCTTTTCCTCCACCAGATGGCACTGTTGAGGCAGAAAGCCCGTTCACCAGCAGGTGTACGGAGGAGAAAAATACAATAATGCTCAGTATATAGATAAAAAATAAAATAAAATGCACCCACAATGAAGAAGATAAATAAATGAATAGTATGTTTATTTATTTCTGTATTTTTTATGTAAAATTTTGGTAGATAATAGATCAGGATTATCTTTAACCCTACCAGCATCATTGGGGAAAGTTTTTAGTGATATGTTTCTAAAAACAAATAGATTTGTGTTGCAATTTAATTTACTGTGTTAAATAAGACACGATCACCTGGATGGAGAATATTGCAAGATGAAAATTTTTTTTATTTTAAATTCTAAATGTTCATATATTTTTTTCACAATTTTGATATTAATTCCTGCTCTAAGTGGGTGAGCTAAAGACATCTTTTAGAGTCTCTATACTCCAGTTAACGATTAATAGATTACTAAATTTGTTGACATTGTTTCAATAATTGATTAATGCAATAAATTATTTCAGCCCTAAATAAAATACATGAAACGGGTTAAACAGAGTAACTACAATCTAGATGTACAACTTGTAGAGTGAAGTTAATAGATTAAATGCTCACATTTATTTGGCGTTCCTTGAATCTATTATTTGGCTTTGTTTCATGATACAAAGCGAACATTTAAAAGATAAGAGTGGGTTTTACTTCTGTTTACCTCTGCACAATTCTATATCTTCTAAAAGAAAGTATAGATCCACATATAACAGACATATTTAGACTATATTCTGTTAAATAGGCACAGATTTACCTACTGTCTTAGTCGATGGTTATTTGAAATGCAAACCTTTTCAAAGTGGAAAAAGTCCTATTTCCTCATTCATTAAAATTTGTATAAATGTAGCAAGAAATGCTGCTTTTCTCTTTAAATTAAACACAGCCTGATTTTCACTTGAAGCATAAAAAACAAGCATGCATATTTTTGCGTAAGAACAACAACATCAGACCAAAAGTGTCCCTACCAAAGTTGAAATCAAACCTACGCCCTTGGTTAAACCCTCTCTAATTGTATAGGCACTAATTAAGTACAAAGGTTGTAGACAAATAAAGTTCAAAGGAATCATGAATAAAAGTTTTTCCTGTATAAAACTTTTTGAGACTTTAAAATCACAAACTGGTTCGCAATAAAATAATACGGCCGCCTAAGAGCTAAACAAACAACCCAGATGGAATAATAAAATTAATATGACAAGATAAGGCAAACAGCAAACAGCTTTAGCTTTCAACATAATGAGATTTATCAAAAAAAAGAACAACAAATCATACCTAGTGTGTTTGGTATGATGAAAAAAATGCAGCATGGAAATGTGGAGAGAAATAGTTTTATAAAATAAACATTCTCAGTTTTTTATTTGGTTTAGTTTACTGAGCATTGTTTAAATTTATTTTATTTGTTGATCTTATTGCAACAGTGCACTGTGTTTATAACTATACATTAATTTAAACATTTTTTAGCCACTGCTCCATAAACATGTAATCCATAGTCTATTGTTGATTTCATCAAGGCCTTGCAAATATGCATAAGTGATTGTTTATTAGCTTCCTAATCTTTTCCCACAACAGTTCTGATCAGATTTATGATTTTCTCTCATTTTAATTCTAATATTTGAAAATGCATTTTCCATTTTTCTTCTTTTGTCTAGTCATCAAAACCCCTGAATGTTGGAACTGTATCTAATATGCTGTCGTATATTTACATTATCACTGCTGCACTTTAAAAATAAAATGTTTTGAATCTTCTCCAGTCAGACTCATGTCCTTTTTTGTGTTCCAGGACCACTAGAGACTCCTAGTTGTTGTTTTGTTGTTGTCAGATCTTTGTGTTGAGTGTTGGGTTCAGGCCTCTTATTTACACAGTGGTCGGGACAATCATGTATCTGCAAGCAGACAAAAGGAGAAAACGCAGCAAAGCTGTAATATTTGCAGGTTGTGGTGGACCCAAACACAGAGGACAGTGGGAGGTTTCCAAGGAGCACAGAGAAGCCTTATAACAGCTTATTTGATCATGGTCGAAATGCATAACTTAGAATGAATTTTAAAAAATCTACAAAGTTTATCTTTACATTACACACTTATGTCAAGGCCTTTCTGATTTACTGCTAGGATAACAGCAAGATGGCGAAAGGAACAGAGCAATGTTTTAATGATACCCTTCCTAATGTCCTACGTGAGATTAATAAAACCTCAACAACGGACAGCTCTATATATACTCTGTGTTTATGTTCTCTTAAAGTAGCTGGCTGGACTGTCAGTATGGTGGATTAAGAGAGAGGGTAAGACTCATGCACTGGAAAAAATTATCTAGAAATAAGTAAAAATGTCTTAAATTAAGTGTATTTACCCTTAATTTGAGAAGGTAAATTAGATAGTTTGCCAATGGAATGAGTATTTTACTCTTAAAATAAGATATTTAGATAAAATGCACTTGAAATAAAGCAATGCAATTGTGTTTTCTTATTTTAAATGCAAATTGTTCCACTGGCAAAATGTCTCTTTTACCTTCTCAATTCAAGGACAAATGCACTTATTTTGAGGAGAAAATGAATTATCTAGATGTAGATTTTTTCCAGTGTGTAAGTTCATTATAGCCGTAGTTACCGGCTGTATACACTGCAGGACGGACGTCTCTCAGCTCTGATATAAAGAAACCACAATTAACCTGCAATTGATTCTCTTTTCTGAATTGGAGCGTAAAACAGGAGCATGTAAAATCCACTTTTCTTTTAGGGTTGTTTAGTTTGTTATTTTGACCTGAGCTTTCCCTGAAGCCTTGACCTTTATTTATTTAAAATAAATGGCACAATAAACCTATTTAAATGCCTTTTTGACTCCTTCATTTCCTGTCTAAATTTATGTTGGTCCCTTATAGCTCCTAGACCCAGCCAGGGGACCCAACAATGATAATGAGGCAAATGCTAGCTGCTGTGTTGCACTGTATTACATTTTTTTATTAATGACAGTAATTTAACCCGATTTATCTGATCTGATAACAGTTAAAAATAAAGTAAAAATAAAATATCAAATAACATTTAGTATGAAATTCTCTAGTTACAATACTGAGCCACCATCTCAAAACTATTAAAGGTTAATTTTAATAACGCTGAATAACTACAATAACTACAAATTTTTTGACTTGAGCCATAAATATCATTCTGCCTATTTTTAATTTCAACATTATACTATGGAGTTTCATAATCAAATAATGATACATACCTGTCGGTATACAATAGTTTCTAAAAAGCAGTAATAGTCCCATGATTTGGTTTTAAATGTAGTCTAGGAGCCATTTATTTTTTTCTTAATAATTAAAGTTTTTCCTTTTGTGGATAATCTAGTTAAGTTTATTTATTCTACTTTACTATATGTTTTGTGGTTATTCTGGGATTTTTTCTTGTTAGTTATGATCAATTTGGGTGAATTAAGTTTATAAATAAATAGTAGTAAACACAAAAAAATACTTTTTTCAGGTCTCATCCCAGAGATACTAACAGTAAACAATTTAATTTAAAAATCCATTGGGAACTCCAGCTTTTTCTAAATAATTAAATTAACAAGTTAAGTTGTTGACGTTTCCTGTTCATTACTCATCTGTCCAATTAACCACACTTCTTTTGTCAGATAGCTGTATTCATTTTATTGCTAACTTTTCAGTTATCCAGAATCTTCTTCTGTTCCAACAGTAGAACTCACACACACAAGAACTCGCTCTCATTGCCCCCCAGTGGACAGCAGCAGTACAACTTGTACATAAACAGAAAGTGACAGGGTATAGAGCTTGCAGGTGTACTTTACAATGTAAATTAGAGACATGAACACAAACATAAAATAACTCAGACGAGTTAAGATGAGGACATATTCTAACAAAGTGTATAATGTTCTTTTACATAAAAAAAAACAGTCAGTCAAGCTACAATCTGCTTAAATATAATAAAATCTAGCTGCTCTACTATAAACTACAGGAAGTTTCTGTTTAAATGAGATAAAAATGCTTTTAATATTGAGAGATAAATCTTAATAGCTTGATTCTTCCATAAAATTTTAGCAATGATAAACTAATTAATAAGTTACAATTAAATAGACCACTTTGAAATCCTTTGTTGATATGATTATTTTTCTTAATAATTAAAGTTTTTCCTTTTGTGGATAATCTAGTTAAGTTTATTTATACTGCTTTAACATCTGTTTCTTTTCTTTTTTTTTTTTTTGCTTTTTGATTTGGTTAGTTATGATGAATTTGTGATAATTAATTTTATAAATAGGCTGTCAATGGTAGGACCAGCATGCATCTGGCCGGGGGGAAGGTTGTTTTGTTTGTTTGTTTGTTTGTTTTTACCAGTGCAAGTTAAGCATGGAGGAAATGTTTGTCCTTTTCTGTTTTCTTGCCTGAGGAGAAATAAACTAAGAAAACTGAAGGAGTTTACATTAAAAAAAATATTTTGCCTGCATGAATTACTTGTCAATGATGCATCTGTTGCCTTTTTGGGATTTTTTTATTTAACACTGGGCCACAACATGTAGTAAACACAAAAAATACTTTTTTTCAGGTCTCATCCCAGAGATATTAACAGTAAATTGTTTTGATAATCTATGTTACTCCTCTAGAGATAATCAAGGCTCAACGTCGTTCTTTGGTTTTAACAGCCATTTATTGTGGAAACTTCTTATAAAGCCCCCAAAATGCCGTCAGAACTAAGAAGGGAAACAGAAACCCAAATTAGCTCAAAACAAATATAAAGCTTTACACAAATAAATATCAGTAAAACAAAGTCATACCTCATTGGCTGCATAAACTCCAGAGGAATAAAGATAACTTATACAGCTTTTCTCAGAAAGCCAGTCTTAAAGCTTTCTGGTGAAACTTCTTGAAGAAACAGGTGCAAAAAAAAAAGAATTGTGTCAATCAATCTTTCCCATGGGCAACAACGTGAAATGTAGAAAAAACATAGGTTCCTCCTTACATTTTAA